CCCCCACTGGGAGGGAAAGGGTGTCTGTCTCTTCTGCCTTTTCCCCCCTCCTGCAGCACTGTGGCCACCACCTCAGAGCTTATTGGAAAGCCAGGTATGAGCCGAAGTTGACAGGGCAACTGCAGCCTCATGGGGTGGGGGGTGGAACCAGCTCGTCCTTCATGCCCTACCAAGGCCATGAGTGCCCCCCATGAGCGGCTCTCCAGCACAGCCATGGCACCAGATGCACAGAAACCAATCTCATAATTATCCGGCTCTTGGCAGAAATCCCTCCAGACTTAATTAGTAAAATATCAGAAATCCAAAATCGCATGATAGAAAACAAATTATTTCACAACATCCTTTCAGCAGTTCTGATTGTCGGGGGTAAATTCTAAACAATAATGGTGCATCTTTTGTCGAAATAATGAATGTAACCAAAGTAGAGAGAGAGTTAAGTAGAAATTTTCTGCCTCACAGGCATCAGGAGGGGTGGGAGGGAGGATATATTGGGGTTCTTGGTGGTTAAAAAAAATTACTGGTGAAGGGAAGGGTGTTTGATTATTGTATAACCAAGACTTAAACCTGAAAGCTTTGTAACTTTTCTCACAGTGATTCAATAAATAAATTTAACAATAAATAAATAAATAAAATTTTTTTAAAAAATGGGGCCTGAGAGGGACTAAGAAGGTGACACAGAGAAGGTCAGGGTCAGTGAGGTGGCAATGGACTGCAGTAACTTTGTACATCAATACTGTAAACTTGAACATTATTGTAATCCTCTTATAGTAAAAGCTTACAGTAAAAACTTTTCAAAGTCAATAATGTTTTGGGCCTTTGAAAGGAGAGACACATCAGAGCTGTGCATTCTGTGCTTTCACCCAGAAATACCCACATCTGCTAAACCAGGAAAGAGAAGACCTGGTGACCATTTTGGAGCTGGAAGAAGTGAAGGTTTGAGAAGGACAAACTACAAATACTTTTTAGCACAGAAAAAAGATTGATTTGTGTCCTTTGAAAGCAGTTCAAAATGTGTTCACAAAATGTGTGTCTGCGCTCTTGCCACGTATGTTCGGCAGCCATGAGCTGCTTCCCCACGCCAGCCTGCCGCCACCGCCAACAGATGCATGAAGGAGGGAACAGGGCTGCCAAGTTGGTTGGTGATCAGTCTCCATTTATTCCAATCTACTCTTCCTCTGCCTCCTTCCAGTCTCACTCACTGACCATATTCCTTCTCTCCCCGCCCACTCTCACAGCCTAGTTACAGAGCACAATCACCAAGGGTTGGAGGTAGCAATTCCTCATAGGTGTAATAGCACAATCAACATATGTAAACCCCTTCCTTCCGGGAAGCTCTTCTAAAACAAGATCTCATCTTGCTAAGAGATCTGTTCAAGAGTGGAATTTCATTTAAGTGTGCATTTCCCCTTTCCATAGTCCATAACCATTTAAACAGTCACTTTAAGTTTACTTCTTAATAATTTTCGAGTCATTTTGTATAGACACAGTAAGAGATATATATTAAGATTAAAAGATGTGTCTCCGGGGAACATGTCTCTATAGATCCCAGACTACAGTCCTCAAGTCAGATTAGTCCTTCCTAACCTTAGCAGGGTCCTTATACAGTCACTTCTCTTTGGGTCATGACAGAATTTGTCCACAACTGTGCTCTTAACTTATTATAAGTTTTATGGTATTTGGCCTGTCCCATTTTAATGCCAGGGTAACTTACAGCTTGCCCTGGGCCCATCACGTCCCTTTGTCAGGAGTCTTTTTTGGGAGTGTTAGGAAGTAAGGGCAACTGAGGTTTATTACTCAGTAAAACTAATCTTCTTGCAGTGGATGAGAAAGGGTGGAGGAGAAAGGGTAGAGGAGAAGGCCCTCCCGTTGATCGTCGATTTGCTCGAGCGGGCCCAGTAACGTCTCCATTGGAGACTTTGTTGTTACTGTGTCTGGCATATCGAATACTCTCGGTAGCTTGCCTGGCTCTCCAAGGTAGAGGAGAAAGGACAAACTAATTTTACACCTAAAATGTTTAGAACTATAATCCAACAGCAGTCACCACAGGTGATCAGAGTCCTGGTGGTTCATAATCCTTCATTCGTCCATGGGTTGATATTTGGCCTGGAGTGGGTGCCAAGGAGAGGTCATGGTGTGGATGAATTCTGGAACTCAGCCTCAAGCAGACTGTGATGGAATTAACTGAAGGGGATCACGAGTTATGGAATCCTTTTAATTAGAGGGAAGACTTTTAAGGAGGCTGGGGATATAACTCAGTTGCGGACTGCATACTTCACATACTCAAGGCCTCGGTATGGATCCCAAGCACCGCATCCTTCTCAGAGTCTCTCAGATGGAGAGAAGAGTGCATGGATGGTGTATATGGGGTAAGGGCAGAGATGCAGAATTTTTTTGAGAGAGAGACTGCAGTTATAGGAGATCTCAAGGCATCCCTGCATGGTCTAGAGGCTGGTGACCATATGTGTCCATATGGGTCCAGAGAACACCAGTCTAGAGGAAGGAGCATGAAGACACACAGAAGGGAAAGGAGAGGGAGAAGAGATAGAATAAAACCCAGCATCTTGCTAGCCTGTCATTCCTCATCACCCAGCCTGCAGTGACTTGCTGAGATTGTGTGGTCTGACAGGCAAACCCTTTAACCATGCAGAGTACTTAGAGTCCACCGAGCAGTCTTTGCCCGAGGGAGCAGTGTTCTTTCAGTTCTGCCCAAGAATGACCATCTCTAAATTATTTGACTTTTATCAAAATCCCTCATTGTTTTTTTTTTCTTTTTGGGTCACACCTGGCAATGTACAGGGATTACTCCTGGCTTTTCATTCAGGAATTACTCCTGGTGATGCTCAGGGAACCATATGGGATGCTGGGAATCAAACCCAGGTTGGCTGCGTGCAAGGCAAACACCCTACCCACTGTTCTATTGCTCCAGCCCCCAAATCCCTCCTGTTTATGCTTAGTTCCCTTTGCAATTTTTCAGGGTCCATTTTTCAGGAAAGTGGAAGAGGGTGCCTCAGATCACAAATGTAAACATTTTCAGTTATATGTAGAGATTTTCAGGGTCAGACATCTTATTTCCCCATGCGGCTCACTGGATAGTTCTTTGACTTTCCTAGAACTCTTCCTTTTATGAGCCAATATCTTGCATCCTTTAATTCCTATTGGTAATGATTTCTGATTTCAAGGCATTGAAACTCTCTTATGTCTCTGAACCTTCAAGACCAATGGGTTTTCTGTCAGAGGGATATTGGTGCCTTTAACTTCATCCTAACTTGACCTGATGTGGTTCCAGACCCTTTGCTGTTATTGAGGACCTTTCTTTGCAAACTGTCTGCCAGTTCTGTCCCTAAAATATGGCTTCTGAGATTTACAGTATGATAGACCTTTGAGAAAACCACTGGGGCCACATGCCAACATAACTGAATTGAGCACAGTCTCGCCAAACACACCTATACTTCCCTGCAGTGTTTTGATTTTGACTGCTCTATCACCTGAGGTTGGTGGTAATCGCCATCCAAACTTGCAAACATTTAAAAAATATAATTTTAAGTATCTATAATCAAATATAGCCTCAGGTTCCTGGCAGGGCTTGTGAATCGTTGCATGACTAACAGCCAGTGAATTCTTCATATTTCTGAAAATTGAACACCAAATCCTTCAGAGGGAAGCATGTACTTTGGCCTAGGAAATGAGCATTCAGCCTTGGTGGGAGCAAGCTAGGACAACACCCCTCCGAGGAGTGAATGTGGGCACCATAAAGGAAATGATGCTGCCTCTTTCTTTGGAGCTCAGGTTCCAGCTCTGCCCTATGAGGCCCCAGAGCTAAGACAGGCTGTTGGCCTGGATCGAAGGGCTCATCTCCTGCACACATGCATGCATTATTTGTACCAGAAGCAATCGTTTGCAGGAACTGTTCAATCTGCTGGTGTTTTCCCCTTGAGCGCCTCCTTTGGGAAACTCTCTGCTCTCCTTGGGCAGGCCAGTGCAGGCCAAGCCCTGCAGAGAACTGAGAGGAGGTGGGAAGCAGGAAATCAAGTGCCGTACTTAACAGAGCACTTGCCGATGTTCAAAGATCTCGTATGTGGCTTACCATGGTGATGCATATGTGGGTGTTTCCCAGTGTGAACAAAAAGGAGTTTCTCTGACCCCCTTTCCCCCAAATCCCCCTTTCATCTATAAGAGCCTAGGAAGCAGCTTCAAGGTTTTGATCCTATTTTGCCAGTGAAATGTGAGTTCTTTGGGAGCTGGGTGTCTATAATCTGTTTCCCTGAGGAAGTCGAGTCTTGTCCCAGCATGCTAGTAGTTTCTTGATTGTTATTTACTGAAGAAGGGGGATGGTGGAGCCAAAGGAATATGTGAACAGGGCAAAGTTTCTTACTTCTGGGTAAGGTTTCCTTCCAAATCCAGCAGACGCCTCAGGCTCTCACACACACAGCATGAGCACTGGAGACTGTGGCCTCCAGGAGCCGGGCCGCCCCTGCCATGGCATCGTTCACACAGAATCAGAGGGGCCAGGCTCTCCCTGCATGACATCATTCACACAGAATCAGCCTGGGGTCCCAAAGAGCTCACTTCTAACTCTTCACACATGCCACAACTTTTAGAGAAGAATGCAGAGCCCTTGTACCCATTGCTTCCCTGCAACACCAAGGGACACGTATGTGGAAGGATGTGTGTTTGGGAAACAGAATCAGGTGCCTTGACATGAGCCATTGGCTGTTGTCCGAGAAGTTGGGGTAACTTCTGAGATGATCAGGGGAAATAAGAATATTCCTGTAAACTGGAAATCGATGTCATGTTGCACCTAAAGTTGGAAGTAACCTGGAAATGCACATAAGCACATTCTCCTAGAGGTGGCGGTGGGTTGACTGCTGAGCTCCCCGTGAGTTCCTTCCTGACTCAGCAGCATCAATGCACCAACCTTCCCTCACTGCCAGGTTATGCAGCACACGTGTTCCCTGGATGCATGCGTGAGAGGCTCCTAACCAGCCACTGTGCTTCAGCCCCTCCCCCACACAATTATCTGGCAGCAAGTACAAATGGAGCCATTTTTAATCAATGTTCCTGCAGACAAGTGTGGACTCTATAGGCATATATACACATATATATCTCAAAATTGAGAATTTACAAATAAGATCTGATACATTTGGTCTAGCGGTGGGTAATCAATGGGAGAAATCTTAGGTAAGATACATCTTATTTGGTTGTGTGTTCTGTTGTTTAGTTCAATTGCATAGAGAGTCCCAGAGCTTAAATTTGGCTATTTTGAGAGGAGTCCAATGAGGAAGGAGAAGAAGTCAGGAGGGTTCCATGAAACAGGCACTGTGCATGATGCTGCTGCCAGAAGAGATGGAAGGGTCTGGATTCTGCGCTCAAAGCTTGTGACAACTGCTCTGAGTCAGAGGGAATCCCTGTGACGGTCTCCAGGGTGAGATTGACAAACCAAACGAGGACAGGCGAAGAGAACAGTGGGTCCCATGTGAAGTCCAGGCAGGAAGACTGAGTTCTAGGCAGAAGGAGTCTGATATGTCCAGTGTCCAGCATGAGGCTGACCCTTGGGCCCATGGAGGTTGGGACACTGTCCTTGTAGTCTGGCTCACAGCCCTGAGGGCAAGTGAGAACAAGGATCCAAGCAGGGTGGGCTTCCGATCTGACCATCTGGGATTACCACTTGCCAGGGATGGAGACCCCACACTCGTACCAGCCTGCATAGTAGTAAGGAGTGCCAAATCCAATGTTGCCAAAGCTGACGGGCTCCTGGCGATACTGGCGGTAGAAGCCTGCAACAGTCCAAAGGAAAGAGAGGGGAAGAAAAACCCCATGACATTGTGATCAGTGGAGAGAAAGACAGAGTTTCCTTCTTTCTCATTCTGGCACAAGGCTCCTAAAACCCTTGAAATATCTGAAGTGGTACCAGTGATGTGAGTCTTATTTTGTTTGACTACTCCCCTTTTTCTGTTAAAATATGTTATAATTACATCATAGTTGGTTTGCAATGCTATATATATTTTTCTTTGTGTTTGGGAGCCATACCAATGGTTTTCAAGGCTTACATTTGGCTCTGTGCCCAGAGATCATTCCTGGCAACTTTTAAGAAACCGTATGGGGTTCTGGGGATTGAACTCGGGTCAGCTGCATTCAAGAAAATCACCCTACCCACTGAACTATCTCTCTAACCCTACTATATAAATTTTGGGAGTGCCAGTTCCTACCTTTGTATGTGAATAAACCTCCCCGACACTCCAGCAGAGGGGTTCAATATGACCAAGACAATGGCACTAGGACTTGGTGGCCATAAAAGCATCTTGTTTGTCACAAACGCCTTTCACCAGACCTGAGTCTCTGTTAACAAGGAGACTCCTGGAAGCACCTAGGGATGGGGGCTGGGCACTGGAGAACTACCCAGGTTGCCAGTCTCCACCTTCAGATGGAAAACTGACGATAGAACCACTCTGTGTTCCTCCCCTCCCCTCCCAGCCCAGCTCCTCTATCAGACCCTCTTCACTGTACCTTGGACGGTAGGGAGGGCTTCTATGTAGGACTGAGGCCCTGTTCTTCCATCAAGGTGTGAATCCACAAACTGGCAATGGTCTTCTCCTTTCCCCCAGCTGTCTCCGATGCTGTAGAATGTATCTGTATCAAGGATAAAATGGGTCAAAAATGGTCTCTGTTACAGGATACCAATTGGATCCCTTAAACCTTATGTTTCCGCCCTTTTCATGTTTGAAGATGGGATCAAGTAAATGGGTTAATGATACCCAAGCTGGGGTAATGCCCTCATAAATGGTCTAAAGATTCAGTGAGATTAGGATTGCTAAATACTTCACCTGGGTTCATGAATGGAAGAGACTGTTGGGATTATAGTCAGTTTACCAACAGCCAAGTCACGATTGACATTTTAGTCATTCATTTAAAAGGGAACAGAGGAGGCTATGAGAGCCACATAATTATGAAATAATAATAAAAGGTGAAAGAGCTTTCAGAAGAGAAGTTCCGAGAGTCGGACCTAATGCAATATGGTTGGGGAAGGCTTGTGATGCTGTCCGTGGTCCTGAACCACATCTGCACAGTAGGACAGTCGTGTCTCCCAACTTGGGCATCTGATGGGGCTATGCACACTGCCAGGGATGCTAAAGCAGAGGAGAAAATAGGCAGAAGTAGAGGGAGAAGCAAGAGCTGGGAGAATCAAATAGTGATGATGGATCGAGGCATCCCACCCCTGGAAACTCACAGTGGGGATGGTTAAGGAGGCAATGCTTGGTCATTATCTCAAAGCGAGCAAAACCAGCAAACGCTCCTCCCCCTATTTGACTTGTGACAAATTATAGAAAGAGTCAGGGAAAGATTTTAACACGCATCCTAAAAAATTGACATTTGTGCAAGGTTTGGATTAAAATCCATATCTTGTAGGTAGGTGGATCAAACAAAAATTTTAAATGATCACTGATCATGGTGCCCCTGTTACTCATGGTCTCCCTGTACAGTGAAAACTGGGGCACTTTTTATTCAGACTCATAACAAGCAATACTCTCAATGTCCAGACTGTCACACATTTTCTCTAAAAAGTTATGATAATGGCAGGAATTGAGAGGTGGGGACGGGAATGGTGGTGGTGGACGGTGTATGGGGGAAAGGGGTGAAGACCTCCCCTCACTGTTTCCAGATAACTTTCACACCTGTTATTGCTGAAGTGATGGCAAAGAAGGCTGGTTTTTATATTTCTACCAGAATTTCAGGCTTCATTTCTGTCAAAGTGATTATGTCAAAGTGAAAATGAGTCATTGCTTGTCAAATGGGTTGGTGTCTGTGCCCGTGTGCTACAAAGCGGGCAGGCGTGCCATCCCAATGGAGCTGCCTGCTCTGTCAGGTTAGGACCTGCTTGAGGCCACACCTTTTGCGCCACCCACAGACAAGACCTACCTTTGAGGTTGTCACTGAGGTAGATTTTATACCGCAGGGAATTGCAAAGAACGACACCCACAAACTTCCTGTACCAGGTCCTCTTCACGTACTGGCGCCCGTGGCACTCGGTGGAGCCAGGGTCATGTTTGAAAGCAAATGGGATCCAGATGGGCTCACCACCTGGGCAACACAGACATAGCATCAGAGCGGACTTTCAGGGGATTGCTGCAGGCACCAAGAGTCAGCAGTGGTGCTTTCCCTCTCTGACCCAGGGCTTCCCCCAAGCAAAGCTTTCCCACATCCCCCAGAGGGAGGTACTACTCTTTTCTTTCTCTCTCCTCTTTTCGTACTGAAGTACCATTGGGTTCACCTTCCAGCTGAGCACATACAAGAGATTTGTATTTTGATAGGGGATTATAAGGGTGAGAAAAATTCTTTACGCCTCAGGGAAAATGAGGTCTTTGGAAGCATGACACCCTACCCTGCAGCCCTCAACTCACTCAGCATAAACTTATACTAGTCTCATCTCCTGTAGTACCTGACTGGAATTTCAGCACAGAAAGCAGTACTTTGCTTTCGGTTTGCTTGAAAAAGTGAAAATGTGTTGTTGACTTTTAATGCATCTTGCTATTATTTTCATCAAGTTAAACAGGGGTAATGAAAGCGATGAAATGTAAGTATTTCATGGGCGCTGGCCACCTGTTAGATGTGGCTGAGACGCTAGTAAAAAGCTCCCCACATTATTCTTCCCCTAGATTTTATGAAGGGTACAAGGAACCTGAATATTGTCAGAGCTTGGGAAAATTAAAAAAATAACCCAACAGCTTTACTTGTGGCTAACCCTGTAATTTCATATTCGAGATTCGACTTTCTCATTAGAATGTCGAGCTCGCCAGAAGAGGGACTTACCTGGTGGTCTCACAACAAGCAAAGGATTGTCTGTAGAAGAAAAAAGAAATCATTGAGTTCTCTATCATTTCACTACTATGCGCTCACAGAAATGTTTAAATAATGGGTTAACCAAAGAAAAATGTAATCTATTAAAATTTATTTAATAGATGCCAATTTTGTCTTAACTTTAATTTTCTGAGCATTTTCTTTCAGGGAATATTCTAATTATACTCTCTTGTTATTGTATGGGTCTCTGAAAATAGTAAACTTTTGATAATTTTTATTATGAAGATAATTCAATAATTAGTATGGTATCTATCTTGAAACCAGTTTCATATTTAAATATATACACATACATAAAACCTACTCTTTGATCCATCCTGTTCACTTGGAAGTATTTATCTCTGAGACACGGTGACGGATATCTATCTACACTAGTGAATGTCTTATTTGCAGTGATCAGAAAGTGAAAACAGCTCTGTATTTCTCAGCTCCTTGTGTCTAAGCAAATAGCTATTTTATTTTATTATTTATTTATTAAAAATTTTTTTTAACTTTATTTTTCTTTTTGGGTCACACACGGTGATGCACAAGGATTACTCCTGGCTCATGCACTCAGGAATTACCCCTGGCGGTGCCGAGGCACCATATGGGATGCTGGGAATCGAACCCGGGTCGGCCGCGTGCAAGGCAAACGCCCTACCCACTGTGCTATCACTCCAGCCCCTATTTTAAAATTTTTAATGAACCATTGTGAGATATAGTTACAAGACTTTCATGATTGAGTTTCAGTAATGCAATGATCTAACAACCATCCCTCCACTAGTGTACATTTCCACCACCAATGTTCCCAGTATCCCTCCTGTCACCCCCACCCCACCCCACTCTCTGCCTCTGTGGCAACTTTCCTTCTCACTCTCTCTCTACTTTTGGGTGTTAAGGTTTGCAATACAGATACGAGAGGTCACCTTGTTTGGTCCTTTATCTATTTTCAGCACATATCTCCCTTCCCGAGCAATCCCTCCAACCATCATTGACGTAGTGATCTCTTCTCCATCCCAGTAGGGGAACAGTCAGACAATGACAGCCACTCCGTGACTTTCACTCAGAGATTCCAGGGATCAAATGCTGAGCACACAGTAGCATGGAGTAGCTTGCAACAATCCTTCTGAGTAAGGAAAAAGTGTCCATGCTGGATGCTGAGTTTTAAGGGGATTCTAGAAAGCAGACTCTGCCACAGGGCCTGAAAGCAGGGGAGTTGTTGCCTGGCAACAGAAGTTGGGCCCTGGGAGGTGGTGGGCTGGCTGCACTGCACTGGAGGTGGCCGTGATGGGTGATGGTGACGGCCAGTCCATCATGAGAATTGTACTGAGGATTTTCAGGTACAAACAACCTGAAAGTAACGTGGCTTCCTACAAGCAGGATGAGCAGATCACCATACCACACACAACTAAGCCAGGCTGCTTTTCTTCTCCCAGAAAATACCCTTCAGAGAACAGAAAGCTGACTTTTAAAGAAACTTTCTTTAGAAAAATTGAAATTTTTTTCTAAAAAAGAGTCACAAAATAGGAAAATTTCAGGATCTTAAAAAAAAAGACTTGTTAGAGTAAATTTGCTCTTTTAGAATAAATATCCTAAATAAGCCTTCTGCAAAAATGGATGGATTCATGGAAATGCAAAACACTGAAATCAAGATAGAGAATACTTTCTTCCTCATCACCCCCACACCTTCTTGTGCTGTCATACGAAGCCATTCATTTTGGCTGCACCCATCTCCCCCAAACGAAGGGGGCTGTCATTAGCTTTGAGTGCAAAAGCTTGAGCTATGCTCCTGCTCTCCTCCCTGCCAACAAACTTCTGCTATTCTGGGCTGGGGTGAAAGAACTGATGCAAAACCACACCCAGCAAACACAGAGTCTGGTGCAACTCCTGCACACACACATCCCTGCTTTATCACTTGCTTTCAGATGGTTATATTGGCAAGCGCCATCAATGAACTGGTCAATTGCTGGATCAGTTCAATGTATGTGATCATAAGCTAATCACTTGATTAATTACACGATCGTGTTCCAGTTTCTGTCCTCATGCTCTCAGTGGGGCAGTGTAAAATGAAGGAACGTCTGAATAAGGGAACTGCATGCTCTGGGAGTGGCCAGACTAGATCCTGGAAAGATTCCTATGTGTGACCATCTCCAGAAACTTGGAGGACATCAGATTCCTCCCTCAGTTTTCCTCGCCCAGGAGTCTCATTCAGAAGTCTGGGTGGGTTCGATTTCTCAAGAGGTCACAAAGCACAGAGTAGACCCTCTCTTGGGAAGATGGTAGTGGAGAGCTGATTTCTCAGAAAGTTTCATTGCTATTACAGGATTAGGGATCCATCACTTTCCATTATCCACTACATTTTGGACCTGGATTTCCTGATAGCTTTTTGGACTGTATTTAATTTTCTAAAGAGCCTTATCAAAAGAATTTGGTAACTGCCAAAGGTTCATCTTACCACTAATAATAAATGTAGAATGTAGAAACATTCCTTACTTAAGTCTCTTAACCACTGACACTCTTTAATTCTGTTACTCTTTAATTGATAATGAAAAACATATTTATTTGTGTATTCATTTGGGGATTCCCCCCAAGAAGTGCTCAGGGGCCCAGGGGGTCACTCCACATGGTATGTAGGACAGTTCCATGCTGAGCCTGGCAGTGCTGGAGGCCGTGAGGCAATCCCCGCAGCCCGGGGGATCTGTGAGGTGCCAGGCTCAGAGCTGGGGGCTCAGGCACGCCGGGCGTGTGCTCCAGCCCTTGAGCTGTCTCCTGAGCCCAAAAACATTTTGTTTTTCTTACAAACTAGATATAAATGTTCCAGATATTTTTCTGCCTCCATTTCCAAATAAAAGCACATTTCTCATATTCTCACAATTGATTTTTCTTCATATTTTTGATTCTCTTAATTTTATATCATTGCAGTTGAAAATATCTTCCATGTCCAAGATTCTGGAACTGGACCCCAAGCAGGAAGCATTCTAACCACACACCTGCCAGGGAAGCAGGATCATGGGGTTGCCTGTGCATGAAAGGGGGCAGGGACTGTCCCCCAGGGGCCAGCACTGGGGATGGGACTTCCTCAGCCCGTGGCCATGCATACCTTTCACAGAAGGCCCAAGGGCTGGCTCACCAGCATTCTCAAAGGCCAGGACTTGAGACGGTCGGGTCTCAGACTAAAACACTGGACAGTGTTTTAATTAAACTCCCCACAGGAAGGAAAGTCACTTTCTGTCCTAGTGAAAAAGCATCTAAGGGTCTGGACTCAAAAAGTCATTCCCTTCCAGGCCATTTATATGCTTTACAGCTGTTTGTAATAATAATAACAATGGAAGAAATATCTCTGCAATGAAATCTCACAGGCAGAGTATTCCCACATGGCTGAAACTAGATTTTCTCCCTCGGCTGGGATTTGACCTCTCCACTTCCCAGCCAGTTCCAAGGAAGATTCCCTCTGCGTTATGACCCAGGATTTTGCCTGGCAAAGAGAAAACACCATTTATTTTATAAGGAATATCCCGTGAACTCATTAACGGAGCAGCTCGACTTCGCCTCATCTCCCTTTGCCGTAGTTCTGATTATACCTGATCAGTGTCAGAGCAAAGCCAACGAAGAAGGGGAGTCGCTCATACCTGATTCGGTGACAAAGGAGACGGAGGGGCTGATGGGGCCATAGCCGTGAGGATTCTTGGCTTGAACTTTAAAATAATACCTGGAAGCGGAAGAAAACATGTGTTAAAGCTTGATTGTCCTGTAGAGGCAACATCCCAGGCTACCAAGCAATCACTTTCGCAAACACATAATTGTTATGTCTCCAGACTTTCCTGAACTTTCTCATCTCTGAACAACTTGTCAGAATCAAGCCATTCATCGCCTTGACAGGTAGCCAGTGGGAAGAGAAAAGGCCTGTCAGATGAGTCAGGTTCAGTCTTTTTTTGTTTGTTTGTTTTTGCTTTTTGGGTCACACACCCAGCGATGCACAGGCTCTGCACTCAGGAATTACTCCTGGCCATGCTTGGGGGAACCATATGGGATGCTGGAGATTGAACCTGTGTTGGCCACGTGCAAGGAAAATGCACTACCCGTCGTTGTGCTATCGCTCCAGCCCCTGGACAAGTCAGTCTGAGAAGGGTCGGTTTCCTGGGCTGTCCCAGAGCTCCTCCTTTCTGGACCTCCCTGTCAGGGACAGCCAACCACAAAGGTCCCTGTGAAAAACCATGTGGTCAGCTGGTTCTTTTCCCTGTGTTTCGTGTGGGCAAGCAGGCGTTTGAGTCCAGTGATGAAGCAGCTCGTTCAGTGCTGGCCCTTGGTCCTCCACAGACACCCGCATGGCTGGCTCTGGAGTCTGAAAAGCACTGAGTTTCTGTGTCTCAAGACTCGAGAAGAAAATTAAGAAAAGGCAAGTGGAAAAGATTAGGTGAGGCTTTGCTACAGGATGAATTTTTATCTCATAACACAATGTTCTAGAAAGCGCATTGAAAAGGACAGAACACGGAGACTCGCATTCCAGTGCATCTTACCTGGACTTCTGACCGGAGGGTGAGAGTGCTGGGTAGGAGAAATGGGACTTACAGGGACCTGTGTCAAGTGGGTTTCTCGGCCCTGGGGTCCCAGACAAGACAGTGCCCTCAATGCTCCAAGGCAGGGACGGGAATAACTCCCAGCCCAGTGGCACCCCCTCATGTGAGTCCACCAGGGCCCTGTCTTGTGGCTCCTGGGCCCCAGGAAATACATGCCAACATCACGGGGTTATCACTGGACTCCAGCCAGTATGCAGGGAATGTACACTGATTCAGATGCTCTGCATTTTTTATTTGGGTAATTTTTTTTGGAGGGGGCCACATCTGGCGATGCTCAGGGCTTATTCCTGACTCTGTGCTCAGGGGTCAGCCCTGGAGAGGTAAAGGGACCATATAGGATACTGGGGATCAAACCAGGGTAAAGTGCCCTCCCTGCTGTGCTATCTGTCTGATCCCTGCCCTGCATTTTGAAAAGGCAGATTATTTACACTGGGAGAGCCAAGGCGAACTTTCCAGCAGCTGAGGTCAACGAGGGACCCCGTGGGGCTGATGTGTCAGATTTTGACAGAAAGGACTGAGAAAGACCATTTGGTATCATGAACCTCTCAAGTCTTCTGGAGGGTTGCTCCTCTCAGGAGAGAAGCCTCCTGACTGTCCCTGTCAGAAAGGTCCAACAGGGCTCCGGACCCCAGGAGACTCTGCTGCCCTTATTCCTGGCTGTGCAAAATACAGAGTCTGTTCAGGAGGACACTACAGCATGCACACAAGCTGAGAACAGCCTCATTCTCGCTTTAAGGAAGGAGCTGGAAACCGAAGTACTGAGGCCTGTTCTCAGGCTCCTGGGACAATTCTGCTGACTGTGTGTCCAGTCAGCGCACGAGCCTCCAGGATGTGCCTCTTACCCCCATGGAGGCGGAGGAGTGAAGCTAGGAGCTATTGGCAGACAGGGAATATTCCAATTTCTTTGGTGGGCCAATTTTGTGGAATGCCCCACTCTCTGCATCCTTCAGATCTACTTCCCTCGACCCCTGGAGAACTCTGGGTCCCCACAAAACCCCTGTGTCCCAGTTCCAAAGACTCAACGCCATTGTTTCATGTGTCAAAATACATTTCCATCCACGGAGCTGAAAACCAACAGGGGGGCCTGGGGAGAGTGCAATCCTCTGTTCAAAACCACAAGGAGCCTCGGTGGAGCGGAACAGCTAATTCCTACTTGGACCCGCCTCCGCCTCGCCCAGGAATGCCGACCTTGCCCGCTTATGTAAGTGTTTGGCACGCACGTCGGCAATGGCCTCACCAGACCAAGTGCTGTACTATGAGGGCAGATTTAAACTCCGCGGACAGCAAAGGGACAACTGGGTGGATAAAGTGGGCAGTGCCCAGTTCAAGTTCCTGAACTAGGGTTCGAGTAGCTCCACAGCTTCTTTGTACTCTCAAGGACCCATCGCCTTCTGGTGTCCCCAGATCAGAAGTGGGTCCTGAGACTTCCTGGAAGAGGGGGGGGCAGACTGAAGCCCATGGAAGCAGCTACCAGAGTGGCTCTGTGTTCAGGTGGTGCTGGGGAGCAGGTGTTGGGCTATGGGTGGGTTCCCACTTTCCTGCAACACAGTAGCTGACCACAGGGCCTTTGGGGCGGTCGCGGGAGAGAGAGCATGCAGACTCAGCACCCACCAACACTTTCCACCCCAAGAAGCTGCTGAGTCAGCGAGCAGAAGCCCTGGGTGAGATCCCACTTGTGGTGTACCCCCAGCTCTCATGGAGATCAAGGGAGGTGGGGGGCAGGGCTGGAGTGAAGAGGGACTCTGGGGGCCTCTGGGACCAACCTGTCAGACTCCTCTCCTCCACATCAGGGCACGCCTTCTCCTATCCTCCACTGGATTTGCCGACAACCTGGCTGGGACCATCTGGTCCAGTCTAACTGGGGCCTATATGATCCATTTTCCCCCAGGGAGCAGATCAGTGACCCTCCCCCACCCCCAAGCTCAAGGGTGTGCTTCTCCGAGAGCAGGGCCATGGTGCCATTCCATGCTTGGTGCTGACCATGGTACCCCCCATGTGCAAATGCTCGGGAAGGATTTAGCAGTTGACACATGGGTCCTCGCTGACACCGGCAGGGCACTTGTCACTCCAGGTAACCACCTACCAACAGCCCACAGCACTCAACAGTGGCCCACAGCAGAAACTCTACAGAGAACTGGACTCAGGGGTGGCCACGGACAGAGCATCTCTAAGCATCTTCCCAGACCCCATGACCAAAGAAACACAGGTGCTCTGCGACCCCAGGGGAACGGGAGACAGATATTCACTTGTATTGCTTTTGTTTCTTTGAATTGATTTGTCTTGATTTGCCATGAAGGAGACACCAAGGACCATCTTTTCTCTGCCTCTTGCTCTGTTAGGGCTGAAATGCAGGAGTCTCGCCATGTTTTCACTGCAGAGAACTGGAAGCTCGAGCCCCCTTGGTACCCTTCACAGCAAGCGACAGAGGCCGCAAGCTCATGTGTAAGTGACCTGTGCATCATACCTTGTGTTGGGCTTCAGGTTCTCGATGGGCAGGTGAGTGACCGAGGAGGCCTGAGTGGACCACTTGTTCCTGATGAAGTCTTCATAGGATGCGCTGTACACCAAGTAGCCTGCAAACAGAAGCAGGAAGAAGCCTGCGAGTCAGGCACTTTCAGAGCATACCCAAACTGCTTGTCCTCAGGACCTAACTGCCATAGAATCTTTGTTCTACAGGGCATGACCTTGGCACCTCCTGGGCCCTTGGAACCTCCTGGTAATTCCAGACAACAATCAAACGTCTTCTTGATGGCTTGCTGGTTGCCTGTCTTCCTTGCATTTCCTTCCCACATTTCCTAACTGGTGCTGTCTCCTCATAAGAAATCGTGGCTAGTTTTGACATTAGAGTGGAAGCCACAGCAGCAGAGCTATGGCTTTCACATAACATTCCAGAACTTGGAAGAGACCTGTAGCTGCCCTTCCCATGAAACAAGCTAACAAAACTGCTGAGTGGTGCATGTGTGCATGCATGTGTCCATGAGACTCTAGATCCAGAGTGCTCTTTTCACTCAGTTGGTGAATGCTGTTCTTTAGTTCTTAGATGTTGACTGTCTCTGTGCCTACCCTTGACCTTGCTGAGTTAAGACAGTGGTCAGGCAGCATGTCTTACTGCTGTATCTGCTGTGAGTGGACTGGAGGTGGCTCCCAGACCACACCCAACTGCTGTCCAGAAGCCAAGTCCATGTCAGAGCTCAGCCTAGCCTGTCCCCTAGGTCTCTTCTGTTAGGAAGTAAATATCTATTGAATATGCCCTTGGTGACAACCACATTCAGTGAAGTCTATTTTGGAGCTGGAATGATGGCATAGCGGGTAGGGCATTTGCCTTGTATGTGACCAATCCAGTTTCAATCCCATTATCCCATATGGTCCCTGGAGCACCACCCGGAGAAATTCCTGAGTGCAGAGCCAGGAATAACCCCTGAACATTTCTGGGTGTGACCCATCTCCCCCTTACTCCAAAATAAAGTCTGTTCTGATTGAACCTCTCAGTGCTCACGTGGGAACCTTCCTGTCACCATCTTGACATGGGAGAGAGATGAGCCTCTGAGAGAGGTCGGAGATATTGTCCTTGTTCACATTCATTAACTCGTACTACAAATATTTATGGTGTGCCTGTTAATTGCCACATTCTGAACCCAGTGCTGAGGAAGGAAGCAGGCAAGCCATGAGACAAACAAAACTTGACAACTGCCAGCAGAGTCAGGCAGCAATCCAGGCATTTGGAGGGGCTGGAGAGGGGAGCAAATGTGGTGACATTTGATGGGTTGGAAGCTGTTGAGGTATGTTGAGGAGGTAGAGAGGATCAAGGAGAGGCAGGGGCAGGAGCAGAAGGAGGAAGAGCCTCCGTACATTCTGGTGCAGTTTAGGAGGTGAAAGCAGACCAGAGTTCTACATGAGCACCCCACTAACCCTAACCATTGCACTTCTGGAACTCCTGAAAAAAAACATGGCAGCTCTAAGGGCAGATAGGCTTTTATTTCCACTGTAAAGGGATGAGAAGATTTTAGGGCAGACACAGCCAGATAGCCCGCAGTCACCTCTCGGGAGCTGACAGGGAGTTGGTTTTAGGGACAGGGGTCCTGGGTGGACCAGCACTGCAGTAGCCAAGGGGCAGCATTAACTCAGGGTGATAAGGTGGTGAGGAGGATCAATGGCTTCAAGTGAAACAAGGAAAGTAAAATGAACAGGATGTATGGGGGAATTAAATATGGAGAATAAAATAGAAGGAGAGATTTGAAGATGATTCCAAAGCTTCAAATCTGAAATAGATGGAAGAAAGGAAGGAAGGAAGGAAGGAAGGAAGGAAGGAAGGAAGGAAGGAGAGAAGGAAGAAAAGAAGGAGAAGGAAGGAAGGAAGGAAGGAAGGAAGGAAGGAAGGAAGGAAGGAAGGAAGGGATTTGAGGAACAGAAAGCCAAAGAGCTTTGTTTGGGGGCACACTGGGTCCAGGGTGCTCTGGAGACATCCCAGTGACACTGGGTTGGCCTCATTTACCTGTGAGGAGCTCCCACTCTTCTCTCTCATGTCTTTTGGGGTCTCCTCTTTATGTCTTACATTGTAGGCTACCATGGCCCACAGGAGGCAGCCTGATAGTAGTTGACACACTGAGGTGCCCAGTCCCTGTGAATGGTTCCATCCTGTTGTTTTTCTAGCAGACGGACTACCCATGATTAAGACACTGGGGGTGGGTTTCCAGCTAAGTGTGTGTAAGTGATGATGGGAGACACAAAGCCTCCACACATCTAGCAATAATATCAAGTCACTGAAAACACATGGTCAGAAGCACGCCCCATAGTACAAAATAGGAATGACACTGTATTGAAGAGCTACAGTCTGAAGAGAGGTCTCTGTACCCCCTTCTGAGGCACATTTAATGTGGGCATAAATGCCCAGCCATGGTTACTTATAAACCCCCTGGATGAAAGCTCATTGGTCTGTCTCAAGTAGCACCTACTTAAATAGCATGCAATAGATCAAAAGTGAACCGCACAGGGTCCAGGGAGATGAAATAGATAATTCCAGATCATACAAATGGAGCAAGGACAGGACTCAGGATTTATTACTTCTATTTAGTGCTCTTTATATCACCCTTATAGAACTTCTCTTGTTGACTGTATTAAAAGAAAACATGCATTATTCGTTCATCCACCCATACTTCTTCCATTTATCATCAATCCACTAGCCCTTCATCAAGTCACCTTCATCTATCCATTCATCTATCATCTATCTAGACACCAATTTGCCCTTCACCATCCATCCTTCACCTATCCATCCTTCCATGAACTCTGTGCTAATCTGTCCCTTCCACCCACCCCCATTCACCCATCATCCACTCATTCATTCATTCAATCATTCAGCATCCCTGCCTATGCTATTCCTTTGTTATCCCATGTTCATGCTTATGAAAACTCTTAAGAGTTCACCTCCAACCCACCTGTTACTACATCTCCTGGGATGGCCTTGTCCCAATCTACAATGACGAATGAGTGGCAGCCTTCCATAGCAACCACAGTGATATTTCGGGGGGCATGCTGAGGAGGCTGGTCAGTCTTTGTCAGGTCATTTGGAATAATTTCATCCAGGCTTTCCACTTGGAAGTGATCCAGAGCGTCGGTCAGAGAACATGGAGTTGATGGGTCTTTACTCAGGTAGGTCACGTACGGAGCTAAAAAAGAACAGAGGTCTTAAATCAGATTGTGGAAGACTCTCTGGAGATAGAACAGGATGTCTACCCCATGGTGTCATAGAAACATAACGTCTACTCCAAGGCATCATATTTGCTATTCAGACTCTCACAATGGGAAATTTGTGTGTGTGGGGGGGGGTCTCCTCCTCTTCTTGAAGATATAGACAAATGGAAATGGCTAAACAATAGCTTTTGACCATGTTCTCTTTGCATCTGAAAGACCCTAAGCTGTTTGATCCCATGCTTTCCTGGCCACAAGTTTGCAGCTGTCATATATTTGTCATCCATTCTATCTTTTTGCTATGATATTCAGTTCTGTGCCTATTCTATCCTTTCCTGGGCACATGTTTGTAGCCCATTTACACTGTCACTTAAGCCTTTCTTCCTTGACAAAGATTCTTCAGAGCAGCTAAGGAGAGCATGAAACCGTTTCAGTGTCCGTCCTAGAAAGGCAGAGAGAAAAGTCCTGACATTCTGTAAACTGAGCCAGGCTGCTATCTACCTCAAGCCAGCGTGGCATCAGGCAAGGGACCTCTGGTCAAAATTCTCGTGCTTCGAGTAGGAGTAGTTTAGATGCCTCATACTATTCTTGGCTAGCAAGAGTGTGTCTCTGCTTACGGCAGCACATTTGTCTTGGAAAGAGACACAGGCACTGCTTATGTAAACTATTGCTTGTCTCCATTGAGGAATATGTTACTTGTTTCCACTTAATAATGTTAATCTGCCCATTTGTGCAGGGCATTAATGACAAGGGAAGGATTCCCCAAGGGAATGAACACACATAATTCAGTTAAAGAGAACTTCCTCTTGCAATTGTTTCAATAACCAAATAGAACAATCGTCTGGATCCAGAGTCCTGGAGGCCATAGGAAATAATGGAAGAAAGAACATTAGCTCCTGAAGACCCCAACAGGCCCCCCTGCTGTCCTGCTGTCTGGTAGCCGCTGCTCTTTAAGGATGAATTTAACAGTGAAAAACCTCAAGGGAAGACTTAGGAGAGCCAGCCACAGAAAAGTTCTCACGTTCCAGTACTGATGACTCTAAAAAAGGGTCCCTTTGTAGAGAATTCTCTGCTATCAGCCCAGTTTCCTGCCAAACCGGGCTGATAGCAGAGAATGAGACAAACACACAAAGACTGCCCAAGCTTTTGGGTGTTCTGGACGAGCACCAGTGGTCTCAGAGATAGATCATTCGCTCAATACCATATGACCCTCACTCCCACAGCGGGGCTCCAACTGTTTAAGTTAGCGGAGACATTAAGGACAGTTAGAAAGCACATCAACAGTGAATGTGTACACGAGGCACAGAGGCCGGAGTATTTCACATAGCCAATCAGCAGAGGCCGGAGTATTTCACATGGCCAATCATCAGGCTGGGGCATTCCACACAGCCAATCAGCAGGCACCCTGGAAGTATAAAACCTTGAGAGTTTTCTATTCTACTTTTGACCATGTTCCCTCCACGTCTAAAAGACCCTAAGCTGTTTGATTCCATGCTTTCCTGGCCACAGTTTTGCAGGTGTCATGTATTCGTCATCTATTCTATTTTTTTAATTCTGATATTATGTTCTTTTCTTGTTGCACCCATTCTATTCTTTTTTGGGTGCATGTTTGCAGCCAATTTACATTCTGTCACCTAAACTGTTTTGTCCAGGGCACTATGCCAAACTTGGGTGTTTTTTCTTATAGGGACGATTTCCCGCATTGCCCAAGAGCGGGGAATCCCCTCTCTTGGGCAATGCCCCAGACTCTCTTACTGGACTATGCCCCACCCACCACACAGGCTCTACAACTCCCTTACCCCCATCTTCTTGCCTCCGACATGAGTCATGCAGTTACCCCATTAGAAATGGAAACTTGGCTTTGGTAAATCTGCTTATTTCAGCAGTCAGGTCCAAGGATTGGCTGTGTTGTCTTCAAAGAACAAGTGTTAACCACCCATGTTTCAATGATTAAGGAAATTCTGCTCACCAACAAATCTCTTCTTTCCAGCAAGATCCAACTCTTCTTCAGGAAAAGAACTAATGGAACCTTCTGGAGAGATGATCCCGGGCATAACAGCAGTGGTGGGGCCCCTGGGAGTGGCTGGTGGCCTCCTTGAGGTCCCAACGTCATAATCTGAAGTGATAGAAGGTTTTGTAAGAGTGCATCATCCAGAAAGGGGGGGTTCTGTTGCTGTTAGTGAGCCTCTTAGGATTCCACTTCAGACTAACACATATGCATGTATGTGCACACACACTAAAAGCAATGATATCACAGAACATGATTTGTCTTTAGTTGAGGCAGATGGGGAAAAGACCCCTCCCTTCGTGGCATTGAGTTCTTGGGGAAGTAATAAAACCAACAAGCCAAAATTCTGCTAGAACTCACCTTGCGGACACAGGAATTGAGGCCTGATATAAGACCTTTATCAAGTGCCACAGCAGACCCAGAGAAGGCTGCACACCCTTGTTAGAATTCTCCCTGGCATGACACTTTGACCACTAGAGGTCGCTAGACCTGTAGAGTGTGCCCGGGGTCCCAACTTCTCTGGGTGCTGGATGATTGCCAGGGGAACCTGATTTTTCTAAGAATAACATAGATTAATTGGCCTTGATTTGCCCGCAGCTGATGGCTGGGAAATAGACATCTTTGGGTGTCATCAGTACTTCAACCTTGCCTCTACCTTGAAGCATCAAGGACAGTGCTCCAGTAGCTTCTCCCTAATGATAACAATACCCTGCCTCCCCCTGCCACCTGCTCATTAGTTCAGTAGGCATTCTGCCTCTGCTTCTATGTAATTATCATCTTTCCTAATAAACTTTGTCATATGACTGCGAGTCTGCGGCCCTTGTGGGTGACTTTGTCTCGGTCACACTATGCACGCAAGTCTCTAAGCACCTGCTGCCCTAGACTGATGGACTGTCTCCTCGTTACCGAGGTCTCTGTAGTTATGAAACAACTACATGGCTCCATTGAGAGAAGCTCCAGCTGGAACAAAGCCCAGGAAAGAAATATCAAAGAAGACCCTCAATCACTCCCACCGTACCCCTTGGCAACCACCCTAGCAATGGGCCCTTACCTTGGTAGAAAGCCCCACATTGGGCAAGTTGGCAAAAACCCTATAAAAGCCAACGTGAACAAAGGAAGCATGCGTATGTGCTGCCCAAGCACATGCATTGCTGCCGAGAGCATGTGGGGCTTGAGGACATGTGTCACCCACATCTCCCCTCTTGAGTTGTATACGTACTTCATACTTTAATGTTGGAATGTGTACTGGGGCTCTCTCTCCACTCTAGAGAAGCCCGCATACTCTCTTTTTTCCCTTAAATTTTTATTAGTGAAACACCATGAGGTACAGTTGTAGACTTACAAATTTTTGTGCTTGGGTTTCAGTTATACAATGATCGAGTACCCATCCCTCCACCAGTGCCCATTCTCCACCACCACTGATCCCAGTATCCCTCCCACCCCCCATCCCCCCATCCCACCCTACCTCTGTGACAGGGCATTCTCTTTTGTTCTCTCTCTCCTTTTGAGTGCTGGATTGGGGAGGAGACTGGCGGAGCAGCGTTGGGGGCCCGCATACTCTCTGGATAGGAATAATCCTATTTCTAATCTCTCTGTTTCTCTCTCGATCTCTGTCTCTTTCTGACTTTTTCTCTTTGTCTCTCTGTGTCTCTGTGTCTCTGTCTCTCTCCCCCCCCACCCCTCCACTTCCTCAGAACTTCCAAATAAAACCTATTATACTTAATTCTTCATCTTCTCCTGAAATTCTTTTCTGTGAGGGAAAAAGAATTTCCAAAGGCCTGGGTGATGTCTAGGACAGACTTTCCTGAAAAGATCAAAGCTCACAGCAGACTCTTAATCCTAGGTATCCCCAGCCCTTCCCACTGTGGCAGTGGTGGGTAGAGAGAGAGCAGAGATCTCCTTCCCAAGGCTGCTGTCTCTCCCTCCCCACTTCGCCTAGGTCACCCAGGGCCCTCCACAGGGTTCATAATGTGACAACACTTCCCCTCCCCTACTTCCAGCTTCCAGCCCCTCAGAAAAGCCATGGCAGATCATAGAGACAAAGGAAAAAAGGAAACAGACCAGAAAAAGAGATATTTTTCTGAGTCAAATTGGACAGAATTGTAGAATTTACCCGGCTCAGCAAACCCACAACTGGTCCAAGGCCAGTCTCAACCCACATACTTTCCTGCTTTATAACCATGAAAGACTCATATCAGAAAATAAATCTGATTTTTTTTTAATTTGTGGTGTGTAGAAGGACTTTTTTTTTCCTGGAGGGGTTAGGATTATTCCTATTCAGAGAACAAATCCTTTCACATTTAAAAAAGACAATGGAAGTTGACTGGGTCTGTGACACCTGGAGATAGGAGAGATGCTTGGAACCCTCTGGAAGCCATCCACCCTCCCTGACTTCCTCGGCTTGTCTTTCAAGTCAGTTTGTGGGGAAGCCGCAGGCTACAGCCACGACCTCAAACTCGCCAGGGCTGTGTGTGGTGACTTTCCAGCCCCAGAGCTGACTGACCTAAGGGTCCCAGAACGCAGCAGAAAGAGGGTGAAAGGCAGGGGACGGGGACAAGTCGCCTAAGCGCCGCCCCCTCCAGGACACGGACCAATCGCAATGCGAGAGCGCAGTGATGGATCTGTGAGCCTCCTTTCTCGGTTCCCACTTGCTCTGCCTTTTGTAGACTCTCTCCAGGACACCCCTTAGAGAAGATCCTGCTCAGGGAAGCAGCCCCTTTGCTGCAGCGTGCTTTTGACGGCATTCGAAAGGGGCAGAGAGGAAGCCAAGACGTCACAAACCAGTGGTCTCACAAAGAACAACTGGCTGGGGCGGGGGGAGGGGGACGGTGGACCATGAGGGGAAGCTGGACCACATGGACTCAGCCAAGGTGCATGTTTACAGAGCAGGAGGGCCTGGGAGGGAGCTAGGGGCTTGCTCGAACCCCTGCCCACAAAGCAAACACTGATTTCCGTCACTGTCTATCGGGTCACATCTTGGGTAACCATCATCGTTTTCTGAGTAAGGCGACCCAGTTCTGAAGGCAGTGGCAGCTGAGGTCACCCACTAAGTTATGACAACTAGACCTTCAGTTGCAGAAATCACGTGCCTGAATCCTGTGTTGAAAATCAGTTCCTACCTTCATCATAGAGGAGGTAAGGTTCTTCCGTGGTTGCTGCTGAGTCCAACCCCGAGGAATCATCTAATGAGGCAGATGTCAAAAGGATTTTTTTAAGTATTCATTCCTATCCAGTCAAAAATAAATACAACAAATGCATTTCTGGCATCCCAGAGTGACCAAGGGCAACAGGGATGTGGCATTTCCTGCCTGTGTACCTGGCACCGAGCACAGTTCTTTGAGGTGCTGAAACTCTAGGGCACTAGCACAGACCACAGAAGGGAGGTTTTCCCTTATAAACTGGGACCTCTTCTTAGGACAAGTAACCTCTGGCCAGAGGAAACATCCTACTGTGTGAGTTAGTGTTTTAAAGACCAAAGCCAAGCCTAATTTTTCTAAAATGGCACAGTGTTAGAAAAAGTCACTTCTCATATGTCATGAAGTTTATTTGCAATTTAAAAAAAAAAAAAGACTGGTCATCAGAATCTGGACCACTTGAATTTAGCAGCACTTGGAACTGGGTGAAACCGGATGCTCTCTAAGTTAGCCCAGCATCTGTGTGAAAAGCTTTTACCTCCGCCTATGAAAGTAGCCGCCAACCATGAGCCACAAGGGCGTGGTTGATTCTCTCTGGTCTGTCTAGACAGTCGGGGAAAATGAGTGCGAAATGTCATCAGAAACTTCGCTCTAGAGATACTTAAAAAGAAAAAAAAAACTGTGGAAGTATTCTCAGCATTTCAAGAAGGTAACAGCGGCCATATGGAACCAGGCAGAATTGCCAGTGGTCCTGTTGTTGGTGAGTTCCCAATGTTTTCCTGGTGTTTTTCAACTTGGGAGGGAGCTGGGGCAGGAACCAGCTTCCTGCTAACATGTGCTTTTCTCCAGGACACGGTACAAGTGGGGCATCCTTGGCTAGCACTGGTGAAAACTCTCATCGTCCGCTGCTTCAGTGACAGTTTGCCTTGAGTGGTTTTGCCCGTGGCCAGCTACAACACACGGCTCTTACTTGCTGTTGAAACTTTAGAGGAATAGTCAGTAACCGGTCCCATGTGGGCTGTCCTAGGGCATTCTGTGGTTTTTTGAAACTGTTCCCCAAGCTGCAGGACAAGGCTAGGGGAGTGGGGGCGGAGGAGAGACATGTCTCTAGTTTAAACAGGCAGGGCACCCCCCCACCCTGCCAGGAAGGGGCTGGTACCTTCTTCAGGGGCACACTCGGGGACCCCTCTGGAGCCCAGGACCAGGTTGCCATCTTCATCATACTGTTCCAGGGTCCCAGGGGGACAGGTAGGACTGGGGGTGGTGGGCTCAGGGGTGGTGGTGGTCTGTGCAGTGGTCGTGCGGCGCATGGTGGTGGTCGTACGGCGCGTGGTGGTGGTTGTGCGGCGCGTGGTGGTGGTTGTGCGGTGCGTGGTGGTAGTCGGGGGCCGCCGGGTGGTGGTAGTTGGCCGCCGGGTGGTGGTCGTGGTTGTGCGGCGTGTGGTGGTGGTCTTGGGCCTCCGGTTGGTCATTGTGGTGGAGGGCACAGTCGTGGTGGGGGGCGTGGTGGTGGTAGTGGTGGTGGTGGTGGGCATGGTGGTGGTGGTGGGTACGGTGGTGGTTGGGGGGGCACGTGTGGTGGTTTTGACGACCTCCAAGCCCACCAGTGGTTTTCCTCCAAGACTCAAAATGGGTCTGTCCTGGGCACTGGCCAGGGGTTGGCCATGCCGCCCTTGCCCGAACAGGGGGAGGCCTTCGGGGCTCACCACAGGCGTCCCTTCCAGATCTGAAACAATAGCAAACAGAAACGTTGCCACGGAGGACGGCATCCCGAGCAGACAGTGTAAGCAGCATCTCTGGTCCCCCTAGGAGCTCACGTTCTATTAGTAACAGGCAAAGGGATAAGGGTCAAGAAGTTCACCCGTTCCTCAGGAGAAGTGGATTGCTTTGAACCCAGAGTGGCAAACTTCTCTCTGGAAAAGGCCAGAGAGTAGATCTTTGTAAGCTTTTGGTCGCAACCCCTCAGCTCTGCCCTGGTGAGGAGGAAGAATCTGGAGATGGTACTGAAACAAATGAGGGGCCAGTGGACACGTGTATGGACACCTCCTTGTGAATTTCATGCAACTTACATTCATCACAAAATATTCCTTTGAAGCTTTTTCTGCAGTGATTGAAACATGTCACCACTAGTCAGAGCTTATAAAGGCAGCAGCAGGCAAGCGCTGGGCAGGGGATGCTGACCTGAGCTCCAGGCCACCCATTTTCAGGAAGTGAGTGGTCACTTTATCTAGAGGGTGAAGTTGCAAAAAGCACAACCAGTGTTGTTTTGGGAAAAGCTAAGTCCCTCTCCCCATAATCCTCTAACTAAGGGCTGGGACGAACTGGATCAAGAGCATCCCTCTGGAATGAAAGGAAGGAGGAGAGAATCTGGTATGGATTCTCAGTGAATCCAGCACAGTTTGGGGTTTTAAATCAGTTCTCACTTACCCACGATGGTTCTGCCATCTCCTCCTAGCTTAACCCGAAGAGGGTTTCCATGTGAATCTTGGAGGTACCTTCCTTCTGCATTCAACACCAACCCACGGTCAAGATCCACCACCTAAACCCACGACATGAAGACCTCATCAGACATCACAGAACCTTCCCATTAACCCAACTCATGAATTAACTATGAAGCAACTTTAGTAAGAAACTGTGGGTGCGAATCACTGGCAGAATCATTTATCAGATTTAACAAGAATAAAGTAGAAAAGCCACTTAATTTAAATAAAATTTAAAATTTTTAAAAAAAATTTTTAAAAATTTGAAAAAAATTTTAAAAATTTTTAAAAATTTTTAAAAATTTAAGTAAAATTTAAATAAGAATAAAGTGGAAAAGCCACTTTATTTAAAAATTTAAATTATTCACCAATACAAAATTTAAACTGGGGGTTGGAGAGATAGTACAGTGAGTAAGGTGCTTATCTTGATGAAGCCACCCTGGGTTTGAGCCCTTAGACCCCATATGGTCTCTTGAGCACCCATAGAAGTGATCCCTGAGCACAGATCCAGGAGTAAGCTCTAATCACTGCTGTGTGTGGCCCCTCAAACTAAAAATCAGTGAATGAATAAATTAACTGTAAATTGTCCTAATTCCCTCAAAAAACAAAAGATGTCCAAAATACTTCCATGATCTAGAAAATTGTATCCAATTCTCAAAATGGGAATGATCTAAATGTCCATTAACATAGAGAAAAGATCTTTAACAGGATGGCCCTTCCGTATAGCGGAGTTCACCCAGGGCAAGGGATGGAGAAATTTCACATACATTAACAGTGAAACAAAATATGAAAACAGGACTTATTACCTGCAAAATTAAAACATGTATTCATTTGCTTGTGTCTGTCAACTTGAAACTACAGAGAAAAACCATTGGCAGCGATTATCTTTGAGAATTGGTTGGGGATGCTTATCATCTTTTATCTTTTTCATGTATATCCAAATTGCCTTAACTTCTTACAATGCACATGTATTATTGGTGTGTTAAAGCATGAAATGTTTGGGGCTGGAGCAAGAGTCAGTGGGAGGGGCATTTGCCTTGCATACAGCTGACTGGGCTCCAGCCGGCATCCCAAATGGTCCCTTGAGCAGCACCAGTAGTAATTCCTAAATGCAGAACCTAAACATCACTGATGTGACCCCCCTCCAAGAAAAACAAACCACCAAAAGACCCAAAAATCACAAAAATGTTTCCCTGTTGCTATTACTGTCTTAAAAATCTAAGTTACCAAAACAAAAATATTTTAGTAGGCAATTAAATGACTGAATGGAGTATGCATGCCAAAAAGCTCATATTCAGAGGAGTGCTAAAGTTACAGCAAAAAAACTATTAGCATCTCTAATAATGAACAAGACCGGCACTTCCTGAGCATTTCTCAAAGTGCAGCACTAGGAGAGTTGGGGTCAGCTGGAAACGTGTTTTCTGTTTTAGACATGTGAGCAACTTGGCTGGGCCCCAGGCCATCACAGACGATACTTCCACTGGTTCTCAGGGCCACCAGTACTGGAGAACCCCAGCTAAGCAAGATCAAGCCACAGAAAGACCCCTACAGGAAGGCTTTGTGGATGTTAGTTTCTATTAATTAAAATAAAACTGATTTATATAAGCCCTACATTTGAAATCTATACTCTTTCCACTTGAAATGGATTAGTGACCTTTTATTTAATATTCATTTTTTCAGTTATAACTTCCTGCTCATTTGAGAACAAAGTACATATTTAGATCTTGACTGAAATTTTCACCAGTCCTTCAATATGCTTTCCTCAATCTACCTATTTCAAATTGGGGATTCCACCATAAAGAATTGTTTTATTCTCTGAGAAAAGGTTTTACAACTCTGAGAGTGCTTTGCCTATTAACCTCCATACACCCCAAGTCCCTAAGCATGTAAACTTAGCCTTAAGCAATAAAGTTGTGAATGAAAACATAAAATCCTAATATTTGTCATTTTACAGGAATAACAGTTGTTGGGAGAATTTAAAGGTGATCTGATTTTTTAAAAATTCCTCTTTGATTTAGAGGATTTTTTGTTTTTATCCTACTTCCTTTTTACAAAATATGTAATTTTAAATCAAATAATAAATTTTTAAAAAGACTAAAATAAAGTAAAACAGAAGTTCCATCAAGAGGCCAGGCAGCAGGCTGGCTCTGTGCCTGCCAGGGGATGTTCATAGCCATAACGTCATCTACTTTGACAGGGCCATTCCATGGGCCACCTCTTGTGACTTCCTAACCTAGGCATGACTTTCTGAGAAGCAAATTCCTTGCTTGCTTACTAATGCTTACTAGCTATAAGGAGAAAGCAAACAAGTTCCTAGGAAGAAGCAAAGATTTTTTTCCAGAAGAAATGACATATGAATATACTATAAACGCTTAAGACTAGCGATAAAGAAGGGAAAACATCATAATACTATTTGATTTTTGGATACACAACGTCTGCCCAGCTTCTCCTACCAACAGCATGAAAGCAACTAGAAGATGTAAAGAAGTTTCACCCTACCCACTTTGTTCCATGAGCGCCGTTGATAATTCTTTGTCCACTTGGTTTTCCGTTACTACTAGGGAGAGCGTGCCCTTCTACATTGGGTCTGCCATTATAACCTACACAGTACCAAAAAAATAACAGGACCTGGTCAATTCAACGTGCCTGCAAAACTGCTTTCATAGCAAAGCATCGTTTTCAAATTGAAACATTAGTGAGAATGCCCAACCATATATAGTTTGCATGGCGATCGTATAAAATGAGCACATAAAATTGTCTTCCGCATGACAAATCCAAATGTCTCTTAGAATATATTAAAGTCAGTTTTTCTTTTTCTCTTTTTTTTTACAATATTGGGAGAATATCATTTAGCATATGTAATTTTTCCAGATAAGGTTTAAGACCTTATTCGCTATGGCTCTATTTTCATCAACGGGAAGACTGAGGGAGGGTGGGAAGAAAAGAGGGAGTCGCAGTTAAGATGAGTGAGGTGCTGTCCTGCTGGCAATGTTAGTAAACATGACACCTATGTCAAGGTGACTCGGGTCCCCATTGTCAATGGAAGAGTAGAAAATAAATGCACAGAGTACATCCCAAGCTTGTTGACAAGTGTCTCATCAGTGGGGATGGCAGCCAGCTTATGCATCGGGGCTCTGGTTCTGTCGCTTCCTTCCTCCCCGTCCACGTCAGTTCTGAGCAGCTCTTGGGCCAGCAGGCCCTGCTGGGAGCGTAGTTTGGCCTTGCCCATCAGATAAAGTGCTTGGGCGTCCTGACAACTATCTGCAGAACTAACTTCTCTCGTAATAAAAATGAAATATTGTTGACTTTCCGCTAACTACAAGGGAATGCGGGGCTTGCCTCTTTTGTCGGGGTCTTAGGTCAGCTTAAAATACCCAAGAGGGAACTGAGCTCCATGTGGGCGTTGAGCTAAACTCACAACATAGGGACTGCAGAGGAACAGATACTAATACGTGCATTCCAGAATGCTCTAATAAGCACCGTTTCCATACCTGGGGAGAGCAAGTTGCTACCGACTGCAGACTTGGGGCTCTACCTTAGGTCCTGCCTGGGCTCACGTGGGCTTCAGAATGGCCCATGCTCTGGCCCCCCTGTGAGTCACACACATGACTGCCTGCCACCTCTCCAGACAAGAGAGACAAGAGTTGCCTCTAGCATGCATGTCTCAGGCTTCCAAAGATATTCAATGACTGCAGGGTCTAAGAAATTCAATCCCCACATGGGGGCTCCTCCTGGCCACGTCCAGTTGAGAGCTTTGCACGCACCATCAAGGAGCGTGCACCGATGTGGGCTTCCTTTCCCGGATTCCTGACCTCTACCCTGGGATGCCGGGCCCAGCCCTGAAGCACCCAAGGCTGGTGGGTGGCACCCTGGCTGTGCTACGTTTAAGCGCACAGCGTAAGGGTTCCAGGAAAGGAGGTGGAAGAGTGGAACCTCAAAGCTGGGCAGAGGAGGTCTTGGGAGAACTCCCAGAACTTCCAGGTGGCCTGACCTGGGGTCCCTGAGTCCAGCTTCCTGGCCTGAAGACTAGGAGGAAGCACACAGGGGTTAGGAGGAAGGGAGGCGCGTGAACCCGCGGGCTAACTAACGCTGGGCTGCGTGCGTGGACATCCTAGATGCTCAAGAACCCAGAGTAGAAAGCTTTGGGGGCGGGGGGTGGGGGCTACAAACGCTCCCGCACACAGAACCCCCTAGGTTGGGAGTGGCTTACCTTGTCTGAGAGGGGGTCTCACGGGGGCGCGGGAGAGCGGGTTCCGGAAGCGGGCGTGCATCATGCGCTGGCGCAGGGACAGCATGGGGGTGGTGGACACGTGGACTGGGGGCGCGCGGGTGGTGGACCACGGGCGGGCTGTGACGGAGGGGCCGGCCCGGGGAGACGCTCGTTCAGGACCAGGATCCCGCTCCTCGCGCTCCTCCTGGGTCGCGTGTCCATCTGCGGCGCCGCTGGCCCTGGGGCTGGACGGGGAGGACCACTTGGGCGCCGAGGAGGACGCAGGGTCCTCGCCCTTCCGGCGGGGGAAGAAGCGCGCGTCCTCCTCCTCCTTTTCCTCCTCCTCCTCCTCCGAGACCGACTGCAGTGACTTGGACGGCTGCGGCTCCCTTTTGGGCGCACTGCCCTGCCCTTCGGCCAGGGCGCCCCCTCCGCCCGTACCCCTGGCGAGCGTGGAAGGGTGCGGGGACCCCGGCCTGCTGGGCCTCAGGGAGGAGCCCGCCGGCCTGCGGAGGTGACCGCCGCCTGCCTCCACCTGGCGCTGCTTGGGCAGCATCGGGGTGGCATCCTTGGCCCGGGTGCCCTGAGCCTCCGCTTCCTTGCTGTCCTCCTGGGTCCCGCTCGCTCGGCTCTGAGCATCCCTGTGCTGCTGATGCTGGGGGGCGGTGGGGAGCACCCCGCGGGAGCTGGCGGTGAGGCTGCCCCGGGAAGCGTAAGGGTCGGAGAAGGAGGGGCGCCTCCCTGCCTGGCTCGGGGTGCCAGGGGGCTGCTTTTCAGGAGGGCTCTGGTCCGGTGCCCTTTTGGGCATACTGGACCCGGGCTGGTGGCGGGGGCGCGTGGAGGCCCCCTGGCCGGGGTACAGGTGCGTTTTGGGGGCGGCCCCCTCCACACGCTCCGCGGTGCTCTGCTCCGCGTCGCTGGCCTTGGCAGACACAGGCTGGCCCTGAGCGTCTGCCCAGGAGCTGGCCGCCTTGGGGTTCTGCCTCTGCGGGCTCGCCCCTCGCGGGGGGCTCCTCCTGAGAGGGTCCAGGCCCCGGTGGGCCGGCTGCCTGGAGGAGGAGGGCAGGTGGTCCCTGAGCACTGTGCTTGCCAGGGACTTTTCATCCTCTTCTTCGCCTTCTCCGTGGATCTCTGAGCCCCGCCGGGGGTCGGACGCGGGGTGAGAAGCCCCCCTGGAGGTGGCCCGAGGCGACTCAGGGGGTGTCAGGGCGTTGGAGGGCTGGACCCGAAGACCCCTGCCGTTGCCCAACCTGCCAGGGTATCTGCCCGGGGATACGAGGGGCCGGTTTCGGAGCAAACTGAGGTGGCCAGGGACAGGGGACCCCGCCTCATCCTGCCCCCCTCCGCCTTCCGCATCCTGCTCCTCGTCCTCCTCAGTGCCACCGCGGGACACCTGCGTTCTTGGGGACAGACGTGCAGAGCCTGCAGGGGCAGGTAGGAGAGGCCGGGACCCCACGGATGCCCCGTTCCCCGCGTGGGGTGGCCTCCGGGCGGGCAAGGCTGGCTTGGGGCCGTGGTGCGTGGGGCTCCTGGGCTCCCAGTGGCGGCTGGGGGACAGGGCTGGCCGCGAAGGGGCCAGCTGCGGGGACCCGGCAGTTTTGGGGTGGATTGAGTCTGCAGCTGGTGTCTCCTCCTCGGGGTCCAGCGAATCATTGTCAACAGAGCGGGCTGGAGGGTGGGTAGCGCGGCGAGCACTGTCCTCAGAGGGGGCTGAGACCCCCGGACCCGGAGCCAGTGAAGACCCTCGCCTCGGCATCCCTGCAGTTCGGCCTCTCGTTGGCATCCTGCCGGCAGCAGGTCGAAGGGGTGGAGAGGGTGGTGGCCTCTGGTCTCGGGTCCCCACGGGCACTGCAGCTGGGTGAGCCGGGGACTCCAGCTCCTCCTCCTCAGAGACTTCTGTCGACTGAAGGTCCAACTTGGGGCGCAGGGGAGGTTTCCTCAACACCCCACCACCTGCCAGGATTTTGTTCTTTAAGTCTAGAAGCGGATTCTGGACGGTCCGACTCTGGGGAGAAGCGGCTTTTTCAGGCTTCCAATCGTTGTCCTCTGCGTCAGTTTTCTGCGGAGCGCGGGGCTCACTGGGCCCAGCTGTGGCTGTAACAAGGAAGAACTTCCCGTCAGCGAGGAAGCCAAAAGCAATGTCACTCTCTGGCTGATGGGACCTTGTGGAGGCCCAGCAGGCTGCTATGTGTGACCAACAGCTTCTCTTTCCCCACCTTTGAGACACTCCAGTGACTGCAATCTCTAAAGTTCTACCTCAGGGCTGAAGCAAGAGTACAGTGCGGAAGGCGTTTGCCTTGCCTGTGGCCCACCTGGGTTCGATCCCCAGCATCCCACATGGTCCCTTGAGCAACTCCAGGAGTAATTCCTGAGTGCAGACAGAGCCAGGAGCAACCCCTGAGCAGCACCAGTGTGACCCAAAAAAGCCAAAATAAAATACAATAAAATTCTCTCTCACATTACAGAACTCATGTCAGAGGGTATACACCACCATCTGTAAACCCAATGGCGTTAGCTCACCGCTCATTATCTGGGGGAATTCTGGGATGAGATCAGCGAAGTGAGTCATTGATTCTGCAAGTACAAAAGTCTTATGTAGGGTTTTAGTACAACTTGTTGGGCTATCACAGATGCGTTACAGCTGTTCTTGACAATGGAGCCAGGATGGACACGTAAACAGTCATAAACTCGTATGATTCATGCTCATGACCCTCGGAGAATGTGCTGCCTATGACTTACAGTAACTGGGATGAACAACAAGACTGTGATTTCAGATTGTTTGGTGTGGAGGCCACTCCAAGCAGAGCTCAGGGCCTCTGGCTTTGTGCTCAGGGAGCACTCCTGGAGGGGCTCGGAGCACAGTGCTCTGCTGGGCATCACACGGGGGTCTAAAGTGAGGTCAGCCATATGCAAGGCTTAGCCGTTGTACTATCCTTCAGATGCTCCAAATCATAATTTTTGAGACTTTATAAAGAATTCCCTCTTCCCCCTAACACGTTCTTAAGGAAGACTTTTTCTCCTCTTTTTTTTTCCTTCTCTTTTTTATTTTTAATCATTCTTTTAGAAATAAGTACATTTGTATTCCCCAAATAATGTCTATCATGAAAGGAGAGCAGGGATGGGCCAAATCTCCTAAGTTCAGTGTCCCCTATATTTTACCTTTCTCTGAAGCAAAATGGAATGAAAGGAGAGTTTGGGGGGAGCAACTCATAGAGCCAGGGAGGGAGCCCCAGAGTCAATGTTGTTCATAAGATTCTGATTTCTGCTTTCCCAGCACAGAGCTGTTGGAAGCCAGGTCCACTGTGGGACCTCTGGGCTGTATCAGAAAGAGAGAGAGAGAAAGAGATGCAGACATCTACAGTTATCTGCTGTAAGTGGGGGAAAGAGACAAGGCAATACAAATGTCCTTCTCCGTTTTGCTTTTACTAAGCTGTCTGACCAGATACTCAAGGACTCTTAAATTCTTCTGAGTCACGCTGAATTCTGAAAGAATGGGATATAAGCTGAATATTGAGCCTGCTGTTGAGAAATCGAACAGCATCAACCAGAGTCCCACTACACTTGAAAATATCTTCTTTCCCATGCTGCCAAAAGCCCCCAGGTGCACAGTGACACTGTAAGGCTAATCACATAATTCATACTTGAATGTCATAGAATAGCAATTCATGTGATTCAGTTTTTTGTCACATTAATTTCTTGTTTGTCTTTTGGGTCAGATCAGCTGAATTCAGGGGACACTCCAAGGCTCAGTCCTCGGGAGTAGCTCCTGTAGTACTCGGGGAATCATGCCGTGCTGGGGATCGAACCCAAGCCTCCTGCATATAGATAGAGCATGCATCCCATGCTCTGCCCAATTCAGCATTCTCTCTGGACCTGTGGGGATTAATATGTAACGAGATGATGAAAAAGTCTTCGAAATCCACGTGCACACTTAGCACCTCACCCCCCGCCCACCCGGCTGTCCACAGAGCAGTTCTAACTGCCAAGGGCATGATTTAAAGTAACACAGGGCAATGAGCAGGAGAGAGAGAGAGAGAGAAAGCCACAAACACACAATGCTTACTTGTTGGCATAGCGACAATGAAGGCTTTGGAGTGAGGCCCCACTCCTCTCCTGTTTGCGGCCCGGATTTTGAACAGATAGCGTTCCCCAGGCTGCAGACCATCCACTAGGGCAGAAGTCGTCTCTCCGGGATAGGTGAGGGACTTTGCTCCAAATGGTTTGAGAGCCGGGGCGTATGAAAGAATGTATTCTGAAATGATTCGGCAGATGGGTGGAAGGAGGAAAGTGAGAACGGTTCTGTGTCCGGCAGACAGGCCATATGGGCAGGATGAATGAGAACGCGCATCTCTGAGTCGGACCCTCTAGGGATGCGTGTCACCATGGCAGCTAGAGCACAAGACACAGTCAAAGGCGGACTTGCATTGACTCAGACAACCAGACGCAGTGGGGAGTGAGCTGGCCACTCGATTTTCAGCAGACTGGACATACGGAACCCAGGAAGCCAGTCTTTATTACCGTGCACCAAAACGTTTTATACTCTATTTGCTTCACTGCATTTACTTCTGTAAACGATGCCAGAAGGACTAGATCCTGAATATATCCAGCATATCTATGTCCACGTAAAGAGAAATGACAATTCCTAGGTGATTCTGGAAAGCTACTGGTACGTTCAAGGGTCTTGGTTTATTAATCTTTAAGTAGTTTTTTTTTCTCTGCACATTTAAGCCAAGTGGGTTGGATATTTGGAATATCATCATTTGTTGTTGTTGGTTTTATAAAAGTTCTCACTCCAGACACGCAATTCTGGATTTTGGTAGTATTTAAAACAATGAGGAAACATTGCTGATAGATTCATGCAACATTTAATTCTTTCCCCCTTGAATTTTCTCTATCTATAAACAATTAAGACTTCAAAAATCATAGAAAATTCATACCAAGGAACTATCACTTTTCCATATTCTTATGGAAATCCTGTAACATAAAGAAGTCATGTTTTAAAGTTAATTTCAGCCTCAGCTAGAAGCCATGACTGTTTTCCTGTCAATGAAACTCCAGATTTACAAAATGTAGCAAATTAATAGCAGGAGCTAACCAAGAAGAATAACTTAAGCTACAGAAAAACCAAGCCGTTGGCATTGGTCCTAGCAGAGCTTGGAAGATCTTTTTTTTCCCTGAGATGAAATCTTTAAAAAGTACATCAATTAAAAAACTTCCAATGGAAAGTGCTTTTGCAGCATTTGTCTGAAAAGATCACTGCCACAGCATTCTTTTCTCATTGAAAATGAACAAACCAGTCATTTGTGGTGGTCAAAGGTAAAAATTAGAAGAACCCATACTCTAGAAAATTTTCTAATCCTGTTTTTTTTAATGGATTCAATTCATCTGGAAAAAATTTAACCACGTCCAAATATATTCTACTAAAATGGTTCACACTCTCCAGACATTTGAAAAAAAAATGCCCGCATGTAGGGTCGGAATAATAGCACAGCGGGATAGGGCACTTGTTTTGCACATGGCCAACCCAAGTTCAGTCCCTGGCACCAGACACGGTTCCCTGAGCTCACCAGGAGTAACCTTGATCACAGCCGAGTCTGGCCCCAGAACAAAACAACAGAAAGCCTGTGTGTAATCCTGAGTTTTCAATCTTATCACTGTCCTGTATGAAAACAACTTCATGAGGGTTGAAGTTCATGAGTCCTTGCATGATGGGTTCAGAAACCTAGAAACTGTGACAGGATTCTCTCTGGTGATATAAAGTGGTAAGCATGCCCTTCTTTTACACACATACACACACACACCAACACACACGAACACACACACACACCAACAAATATAATGAAGATGTGGGAGAACTAAAGAAAACAGCTATGGAGCATTGTAATAAAGCAACAATTGACCTTTTCTAACTCCAAAAAAGTAGTTAGCCAAAAAAAGTCTGTATTCCATTTTCAGAAGCCTTTATAACATCAGAGAAATACAGAAGACGCCAATGTTAAAATTCTCATAAAAGAGAGGCTAACAGGGGCCAACAAAATACTTCTTTTCTTTATTTGTTTCAGCTTTGTTCCACTGGGAAAAAATGAGCAAGAATTGTACAATCTAGACTTAAAAAATTAGAAAATGAGGACATTTTAGAGCATCATCCTACATGCACATTTCTCAAATTGATTGTTCCATGAAAAGACTTTCCTCCCCTGGAAGCAAAGAGAACTGAGCATTGTAAGCCAAAGAAATCTTGTCAGTTAAGAAATTCTCACAGGAGATGTGCCCTTAGCACCACCAGGAATGATTACTGAATGGAAACTCCAGAGTTACCCGTGAGCATTTTCAGATGTGGCCCCCAAACAAAACAAAACAAATTCTCAAAGGAGAAAAATGACATCTTTCTAGATCTCTTCAAGTTCACACAAACTTGTAATAGCTTCTGGACTTGTTAGACTTAAAAGTTGTCTTTAAAAGTTAAGAAACATTTATACATGCCACACAGTATATTCATGTAAGTGATGCCCAATAAAAAAAAAAAACAACTCTTTAAACTATTTCAAAACAGACTACTAGAAGGTTCTGGAATGTATTTTCATTGAATAAAAAAGATCTGTGTTCTACTTAATAGTCTCAACAGACTTTCTAAATTGAACTAATTTTGAATATTTTATTCAATTGTTTCAAAATAGACTGCATTTTATTTTAAGATCATAGCTTGCTCAATCAATTTTTAATTAAAAAGGCTGACCAAAAAGTTCCCTGGCATTATATTTTATTACTTGAATTTTCAAACTCATTAAAATGACCTATAGTCCTGTGGGTTCCTGCACACTCCTACTTTTTCACACCCCTATTGGCACCTGAAATAGTCCACACAAAGCAAGGTATCATCGGTAGAAGTAAAGGTTATGATGTCTCTCTCTCTCTCTCTCTTTCACTCTCTCTCTCTCTCTCTCTCTCACACACACACACACACACACACACACACACACACACACACACCCCTAAACACCACTCCACCCTCAGCCCCATACTACCCAGATCCTGCAGACAGGACAGAGGAAAAGTCATCTTCACGTGAACAATGAAAAATGGCAGGAAATGGCCACTAGCTGGCACATTTCTGCATGTCCCTCCCTTGTCCATTCGCTTGCCCCTCATCTCCACGAGTCATTTCCCCATCTTTTAGCCAGCACCCCATTGATGTAGCTTGCTGCACGTCTATTAGCTATACAAATGGTCACATGACCTCACACGTAGATTCCCTGCTCAGGAGCTGACACTCACGCCAGGTTGTTGTGCCGGTGTCAGCTTCTTATTGCCTTAGCAGCTCTTGCCCAGGCCCAGTGTCAGTGCACACGTGTCTCTGGGGCTGGCCACTCCCAGGAGATGCCGCAGCCCAGTGGCTTGACCTCCCATAAACGACGCTCCTACCTTTCACTCTCCCTTCGGTCTCTGGCAACGCGTCCCACGCCACAGTGACAGCAGTGGATCTGCCGTTGACTGGCCAGACGTTGAGGTTTCCAGGAGCCGTGGTGGGAGCTGCAAGCACAGAGGAGCCCACATTAAACAGAACCGTCGCACATCTCCCACAGGGGCTCCCTGCGGGCCCAGGTACTTTTTTTTCAGTCGAGAAGTGACTGTGTTGCGTTTGATTACACACAAGGAAAATGATACACTGGGCCTCTGGGTAAGACAGTGATGTATGTCATGTGGACCTTCAGCTGAGCTGAATCTGTCTAGGGCAAAGATTTCTGGGATTCAGAATGTTTCCCATGGCTGCTGGATATTGAAGTAGACAAAATTCCAGTTTGGTTGCATTGTCTTTTCAATAAGGCTTTGAAAGGAAAGAAAAGATCTAGAACAAAATTCTGCCCTTGAGACAAACACAACTGCAGTCTAGAAAAGAACAGTATTGGGGCCAGAATGATAGTACAGTGGATAAGGTGCTTGCCATGCACATGGCCAACCTGGTTGGATCCCCAGCACCCCTTTAAGGTCCCCTGAATCTGCCAGGAGTGATGCTTGAGCTCAGAACCAGGAGTAATCCCTGAACAAGGCTGGGTGTGACCCCCAAACAAATAAACAAAACAGAAAAGAGGGCTGGAGCAATAGTATGGTGGTTAGGGTGCTTGCCTTGCATGTGGCCAACCCAGGTTCGATCCTCAGCATCCCATATAGTCCCCTGAGCTCTGCCAGGAATGGTCTCTGAGCTCAAAGTCAGGAATAATCCCTGAGCACTGCTGGGCATGGTCCCCAAAACAAACAAACAAACAAACAAACAAACAAAAAAGAGGACAATACCTCCCCTTGCCCCAGCCATGAGTTCCCCTAGATATCCCTTCCACAAAGGTGACTTAGGGGTGCAGCACCCCTATATGTGGAGGACCCACGTGTGGACCACACAGGTGATGTAACCAATCAGCGCTGGACAGAAGCTGGCCAAGAAACAGCTCCTAAACTTCACATCGAAAATGCCTTTTCGTAGAAACATGGCCAAGATTTAGGTACATGTAATAACAACCCAAAGGCTCCTGCTGGCCTCCGCCTCCAAATCTTTTCTTAGTTAGATGCTCCTCCAAGGTGGGTTAGATACAGACCAGACTCTGGTGTCCTCTGGAAGACGGAGGTGCTCCACTTGCCGTCTCTCTCGCCCTGAGAAATGCGGACTGCAAATTCATACATGGTGTCAGGGATGAGGTGCTCGACCAGCACGCGTCTGTTGGAAACCTGTCTGTAGTCCCACCGGGCCAGCTCGCCCTTCTCACGGTAGCGCACGGTGTACTGTCTACAGGAAAGAGAAGGCAGCTGTGAGTCCCCCATCAACCCTCACTCTCAGCTGGCGTTTCTTCCTCACAGATGTGATTGGAAGGGAGGTGGAAGATCAGAAGAGAAAAAATATCGATGTTTGACAATCTAAAAAGGCACTGATTTCTTTTTTTAGCATGAATTTTATTCATTTATTTTTAATTTTTTTAAATCGAATCACCATGAGCTACACTTACAAAGCTTTCATGTTTGCATATCAGTCATACAATGATCGAACACCCATCCCTCCACCAGTGTACATTTTCCACTCCCAATGTCCCCAGTATCCCTCCCAAACCCTGTCCCACCCGTGCCTCTGCCTCTATGGCAGACAATTCCCCTTACTCTCTACTTATGGACATTATGATTTGCAATACAGATAATGAAAGACCATCATGTTTGGTCCTTTATCAACTTTCAGCACACATCTCCCATCCCAAACGACTCCTCCAACCATCGTTGACTTAGTGATCCCTTCTCTATCCCAGCTGCCTTCTCCCCCAGCTCATGAGACAGGTTTTCCACTGTGAACCACCTTCCTGACCCTTGTCTCTACTGTCCTTGGATGTTAGTCTCATATCATGTTATTTCATATTACACAAATGAGTGTGCTCATTCTATATCTGTCTCCCTCTTTCTGACTCATTTCACTTAGCGTGATACTCTCCATGACCATCCACTTATAAGAAAATTTTAAGACTCCATCTTTCCTAACAGCTGCATAATAGTCCATTACAGCACTGATTTCTAAGCAAAGTTAAAGGAGATAGGAAGGATGGAACCCAAATCCTTAAGGCTTGTTTCATCTAGAGCAGAGAATAAGAAGGCGGACAACTTTTATGAGGCCAGTCCCTGATATCAAGGGTGTGTGTGTGTGTGTGTGTGTGTGTGAAGGACAATGTTATCTACTTCAAGATTCCTTGGCTTTTCAGAAAACATGGCAATAAAACTCATTTTATGCAAAATTAGGCATGATTTTGGGAAAAGACAACATGAGGTTCTGAGAAGGTGTAACACCAGGAGGAAAAGCTAAAACACGTAAGAAATGGAACGGGCTGGAGGAGAGACACAAAAGTGACAGAGCGTGCTCAGAAGGGAGAGGGACCCGGTGTTTTCCAACATGGGCTTCGCCAACAGACCCCGATAGAATGTATCTTCCACACCCAGCAGCACAATGCCATCGATCCCTTTTCCAGGAAACTGTCTTTGTGGTCTTTGTAATTTCTGCCTAGTAACCCCAAGCTGCCGGTTTGGTTGTGAGTTACCAGGTCAGGATGCAGCTCCAGCTGCCGGCCGGCACAGCAATGAACACATCAGCCCTGCTAAGGAGACTCAAGGTTTTTTCTGTTTTCCTCCAGATGATGGGAATCAAGCTCAGGGGTGATCAGGAATGCTTGAGTTGGGCAGGGGAGGGAGGAGACAGGTAGGGAAAGAATCATCTGAGGTTTTTCAAAAGAACTAGATTTTGTTTTTTCACTAGCAGAAACAAAGTGCTTTTCACTTGGAGCTAGTGACTTAGATGCAGATAGAAAAGGAAGCAAATCAGTGACAAAGAAGAGGCAGGTAAACAAGTTTGTCATTCTAGTCTATATATTTTTTTGAAGTCTGCATCCACTTTTCCTGCTTTCAGATAATTTTCAAAAAGTGAAAATGCAATGACCAGGTCCCCAAACTTTGGGCTTTCTTTTGGCTGTATAAACTATATAGAATTTTAGGCTAAAACTCTAAATACCAAAAAGTTTAATGACTATACTACTCATTCTCCACATACTAGAAATGGGACCTATCAGTGATACTTTCTACCACCAAAATCATTGTACACTCACATGGTTCTATTTTCAAAATCAATATAAATACCAGAACAGCATGTCATAATGTGTGACTGAGAATCTGGTGCTTTTCGCTCTGCACAAGTGAGCAGAGTATGAAGCAATTCTGTGTTGGAAGAATGCTTAAGAAGCATGCCATGTGCCAGGCTATGCCCAGCTCACAACAGAAAATGTCACCGCTCACCAGAAGGTTTTCCTTCTGCAGCTCCTTCCTGGAAAGGCCTCTCTTAGTGGGGATGCCCAGATTCTGTCTTTGAACACTGATGAACAAAGCAAAATAGAATGGAGGCAACGAAGAAATGGAGTCGAGAAGTTTCCAGATACAAGACTTGGAGCAAGTAACCTGGGAAGCCCTGCGGTGTCAACATTACTTCCCCATGTTGACCGCTTTCAGCGTTAGGTGGCTAAACACTAGTCAGCTACAGAGACAGCCAGAATTCAAGGATATCAGAAAGTACAATCAATCATTCTAGGAATATAGTTCTGCCTCTTCAGGACCTGAAAAAAAATCTTCAAAACATAGTCAAGGCAAAGAAGGAAAGTTACCTCGAGACAACAGGTTTTTTCTGTTTCTCCAGAATCGGGTCCACCCAGGCTACGAGCACGGACTGGGAGGACATCACCCGGACAGTGATGTCTTCAGGGACATCCAGCTCGTCCTCTTCTGAAAGGACAAAGGGACACTAGGAAACACTGTGGCAAAGAATTGGCTGTGCCCCTGAGTTCCTCTGATCTCCAGCTTGTAGGATTCACCCCTTGATGAGTTTTAAGTTGGGTTTTTGTTTGTTTGTTTGTCTTTGTTTTCTGGGTCACACCAGGCGATGCTCAGGGGTTACTCCTGGCTCTGCACTCAGGAATCACTCCTGGCGGTGCTCAGGGGACCATATGGGATGCTAGGAATCGAACCTGGGTCAGCCACATGCAAGGCAAATGCGCAACCTGCTGTGCTATTGCTCCAGCACCTTAAGTTGCTTATTTATTGTTGGTTAAGTGATAGGAGCAGACACTTCAGCAACTGTTTGGTCAGTGTAGAAAAATGAGATGCAGAACTGGTCATAGCACCTCCGGGCTATTCCCTCTTTTCTGTATGTTGATGATGAAGAAGCAATGCCCTTTGTTCAAGAAGAGAAAGGCAAGAAAACTTCAGGACCACCCAGTGCAAGAAGCACCCTGAGCTCCCGGCCGAGTCTGATTCCAAGGACAGACTGGCACAGTCAATCCCTTAGACAACAGAACTCAGTTTGCAATTGCACAAGCCTCTGCTCAGTCTCAAAGGCCAGCGGAGATGCCCACAAGGGCTTTAGTTCCCTTGGGGTTTTGTGTCTTCTGTTTTGTGTTGTGTTCTCTTTTCAACTCTTAGGGATCAGGTCACACAAGGATGTGTGACTTTTACTACGGGGAGGGAAAGAGGAGCGTCTTAACCTGTTAGACAGTGACACAGAAACTTCCATAAGCAACCACTTATGAATAATAAAGTGAAAAAGCATGCGTGTCTGCTAAACAATGCAAACCTTGTCATGCTCTTGAGGATAGGATTATAGGAACATATTACATGTAACAATGTATTATATAAGAGTAATTGTGAATTCACGAAAGCAATTATGTGGTAGGTGGCCCCTTTAAATTAAGACAACTGGGGCCAGGGAGATAGTGCAGAGGTCAGGAGCTCGTGCTTTGCCTGTGTAGGACCCTAGTTTCATCCCTAATACTGTGCCTGCGCCAGCCCACTACATACCCAGAGGCCTCCAAGCACTGCCAAGTGGCTAGGACTGGGGTGGGGGAGTTCCAACCCATCGGGATCCAAGCAGTACCACATCCTCAGGCCTGAACCCTCTGGCCTGGCTAGCTGAGTGTGGAGGGGAGTGGCCGCTGAGCTTCCTGAGAGCCCCCCAACTTTGAATAGATGCGTAAAGCCAAGACACGTGATCCAGGAAAGGTAGTATGGTTTGCTTACAGCTGTGTCCTGTAGAAACCCTCCCTGGGTAACCAGGAGGAATCGGCCACTGGCCAGCCTACCCCTGCTCCCCCTCTCTCCTCACTCTCCTCTGGCTACTGTGCCATTTGGGGTAAATGAAGGGCAGTGCTTATCTCACACCATGCCTTCTCCTCAGCCCCTCTCATTTCTCTCACCTGGTTCTTTCTACGGGCTGGAGCAATAGCACAGTGGGTAGGGCGTTTGCCTTGCACATAGCCAATATGGCCAACCTGAGTTCGATTCCTCTGGCCCTCTCGAAGAGCCCAGTAAGCTACCGAGAGTATCCCGCCCACATGACAGAGCCTGGCAAGCTCCCCGTGGCGTATTCCATATGCCAAACACAGTAACAACAAAGTCTCACAATGGAGACGTTACTAGGCCCACTCAAGAAAATCGATGAACAATGGGAGGACAGTGACAATGACAGTGGTTCAGCCTACACCGGGAGAGATAGTGCATCAGTGTGTCCTGATGGACAGGCTGGGGACGTATGTGCTGGCAGAGATATGGGTGCCCCCAAGGGCAGTGCCACATGCCCGCGTCCAGCATGTGAGCACATCCCCCTCACTGAGGATGCTTTTCTAGCTAACAAAGCTAGTGCCGGCTCTCACCCTGCAGCCCCTGTGCTCCCCACACCACATGCATGAGGCCAGGTCACCTACCTGAGATCTTCCGCTTGGTGAGTGCAGCGCGGTACACTGGTTGGCTGCCCCCCTGTGCATTCAGGGACTGCAGGGAAACCACATACACCGACTCGGAGGCTGTGAGTGGCAAGCAAAGGCGTGAGGCTTGGTGAGGCTGCCCCATGACCAGTCCCTCCCTTCCCCTCCTTCCCATCTCTGCTTCTTGGGCCCCTCAGAGGCATTCAGGGGAAAAGTGGGACCCCCATCAATGAACTCAAGAAGAGCACTGGTTAGGGGATGCGGAGGGGATCCCAAACATGGGCCGCTCCATCATTGGTACGTGAGACAGTGAGCATGTGTCTAAATGAAAGGACAGTGGGGGGTGGTGCCCACACCATGACCCTCCTTTGTACTCCCCAGTGTGGGGGCGAATAGTGCTGGACAGTGGCCAAAATGGCAGCATTTCCTGCTTCCAGGCCTGCACTTCCATCCCAGTCCTATCCCCTGGGATGTTCACAGCTGTCCATCATCAGGGGGAGCACCACAGTCCCTGGGGGTGCTGACCTTATTGAGACCGTGACATGATTCCTACAAGTGTTTCTCAGTCTTTGGGGGGTGCAGCAGCAGCCAGACCACCTGACTCCCCAGGCATTTCATGGTGGGGTCCCGCAGCTCAGACCTAGACCTCCCCAGGAGACCCTCAGGGTTGTCCTAGGACCCCAGAACTGCCGGTCCTACTCCCAACTTCCCTGTGACTGTGAGCTCTGGGCTATAGGAAGGGCCCCCTGCTCTCCATGCATAGTTCTCAGGCTCCAAGGCCCCTCCTCTGCCTGCCATGCCCATCTCAGTGCCCACCTGGCTCTGCCCATCCCCTGCCAATTCCTCACCTTCCTCACTGGTCCTCCTGCTGCAGGAAGCTGATTGGCACCTACCACCCGTGTTCATGATGATACCACTGAATCCCCTTAGTCTTAGGGCGAATCTGACCCATGCCCCCACTTCCTCCGCCAACACAGATGCAATCACGAGACCACAGGAGTGAGCCACGGGGCCCACTATCCCCTGCCAGCCCAGATTCAGCTGGGGAGTGTGGAGGTGCTTCAGAAAGCCGAGTCCCCAAAGGAGATGCCAGGATACAGGGCACCCTTGAGCAGCCCAGGCCCTCTGACACTTGGGTTCCCCAAGGAGAGAGCAGACATGGAGGGACCAAGGTACCAGGAGACAGGGTCTGAGGAAAGGCTGGAGAGTATGGGGATAAGAGAGAGTATCAGATCCCAGATATGAGGGTCAGTCCCAGAGGTCTGGTCCACTGTCCTAGTCTGCCAAGAAAATGCCAGCAGGGTGGGCCCCCTCTTGGCTAGGACGAGGCACCCTGACCCCCTTTAGTATGGAGATGCTCCCTTTCGGGGCCCATGGCCATGCTGCCTTGCCTGGGGACTCAGAAAGCAGTGGAGAATGGCCTGCTGACTTGCAGGCCGACCTCATACTTTCCCCTGATACCGAGGGTGCCTGGTCCTTGGGCAGAAGGTGTGAAGGAGACAGAATGGGTATGATAAAGCAGTAGCAAGATGGGGGAGAGAAATGGTGCACTCAGGGTGCAGGCAGAGAGCAGCCCTGGCCCCTGGAGGTGGCCCTGCCCTGCAGTTCCTGTGGGTTAAAGGGAGTGGTGGTGAGTGGCCGGCAGAGCTGAACAGTACAAAAGAGAGACACAAGGAGGGGCCAGGAGCAGCCCTGGCAGCTGGGAGTGAGCTCCTGGTCACGGAAGCCACCGCAGAGTCCCCCAGGACGCCTGCCGAGCTTGGCACTCACCGAGCTTCCGAATTTCATGAGTTCGCTCATCCCTCGACAACGGAACATACTTCATCTTCCGGCCACTTTCCCCATAGCCCAGCAGAAAGCCACGTGATCTGCGTGGACTCTTGGCTCCAGAGAGGCGTGGCGCCTTCCACGCGACAGACAGCCGGTCATCTGAGGATCGGACTCGGACACGCAAGGGCTTGTTGGGCACTTCCTTTTCTTAAAGGGGACACCAACAGAGACTATTAAACAGAGCAGCCTTAGTTTTTACCAGCCACTCTGAGGAGAGGTCGCGCTCACCGAGCTGCAACATCAGTCGCTGGTCCCCAAACCTCCACGTCGGGGGGGAACTGATCCAGTAAGGACAGCTGTGCCCCCGGGCTCTCAGCCCTCGGGGCATGAGGTCCTCCCCAGGTTCAAACCCAGACATCTCAAAAAGGTCGAATGGAAGCAGACATGGGTGGGAATGCCCATCAGTACTCTCAGTTGTTTAACATGCTTATTTTTAAACATCAGCTTCCTTTAGCCCCCTCAGATCAAAACTATATAGTTAAAGGTCAGAATAAAAATAAAGCCAGTGCACATTCTCCCTATTTATAGTTGCATACCAACACTCACTCTCCACCCAGCCAAGGAAATCTCTTCAAAGAACATGGAATAGACTTTAGCTGATTTATCTTTGGGTCCACTTTGCTTCCCTGTCTAAGTTCATTCTTCCAGACAAGCCCTTCTAGCTAATTTAGTCAACTTTGGAATTCCTCTTTCTAAACCGGTCAGTCCCATCAAATGTTCTCCTTGTTAGAGTTCTCAAAGCAACGCATTGCAGTGGAAAGTTAGAAATGTGGAAATATTGCTATTTAGGGTTGATACATTTAGAGTAAGAACCATGACCCCATGAGGATGATATTGCCCACTTTTGGCAGTGGATCATATTCTAGCAATAGCTTAGTGATTCAGCTAAGCCATTGAGCCTCTTTCTAAGCAGATAAGCCATAGGCATCCTTCCTATGTCAATATCATCATCATTTATAGTTTTATTTAACTGGAAAAAATTAGCATTTTGTGACTAGCATAAAAACAAACACCATCATGAGTTAGTGTCAGTTCCATTAACATAATAACTAAAAATCTGCTGGGAATAGATGTCCACAATACCTGATTCCAGTGTTCTGAGTCTCAGCAAAGAAAATAGTAATATGCGTATTTGCTGGAATTACCTAAACCAATGATATTTTTTAATAATGCTGTGCATTCAGCGCCCAGGAGGAGAGAGAGAACAGGGGGGAATGCCCTGCCACAGTGGCAGGGGGGGATGGGGGGATGGGAGGATGGGGGGGGGAGGGATATTATTCTGGTGGTGGAAAATAGGCACTGGTGGAGGGATGGGTATTTGATCGTGGTATGACCGAGATCCAAGCACAAAAATTTGTAAATCTACAACTGTACCTCATGGTGTTTCACTAATAAAAAAGAAAAAAAAATAATGCTGTGCATTGTTATTCTTAAGAGTTCCCATTGGGAACTCTGGGCACTTCCTGAAAAAAAAATACCATGTTATGGTTCAACAAGAATTCCCCTAATACAAAACTTTTTAATTTTAATCCAAAGTATAGTCAATGGTCTACTAAAATTGTACACTGGGGTGACACTAAACTTCTCTTAGCTTTTTTCAAGTTGAGAGGTGAGCTTTCAATGTCAAGTTCTAACAATCCTAAATAAGATAGACCATCACAGGTCCAGAAGTAATATATATGCCTACTTAAATAGCTGAGAAAAACTGCCCCAAGGATTTGGTACTCTAATCCAGTTCACTAATGGCACAGCACTGACTAAGCCAACAAACCCCTTTAATAATCCTGTGAGTTGTTATTCTTAAGAGTTCCCATTGGGAACTCTTGCATCATAGTCATAACAGAGTGAGAGCCAGTATTTCTAGAAAAATCCAAGCTGTCAGACCCCGTGAAGTGTTTGAATTAGCCGTGGGTGACTGTCAGGCTGGACGTAAATTTCCTTCATCAGTCCCTTCCACATTACCTCAGAGAAGACATTGTTGGGGCCCAGGAAACGTTTTCTAATGCTTGTGAAAACTGATGCTAAAAAGCAAGATCTAGACAATATTTAGACTGATTTCACAACAGTGAACTTTTGATTTTTTTCAAGTGAATAGACTTGGGGAGGGCACTAAAGAGAACAAAATCCACAGATAACTTTCATCTTTCAGAAAGCAACTTCATGTCATCTTCGGATTCATATGGAGTGGTGAAGTTCATTGGCCAGTTGTTTGGGGACAGAGCCTTGAGGAAATACATCCTAGGAAGCAGAAAACTTGACATCATCCATCTGGGGACTCCCAAGACTACTGATCACTGAGATCCTCTGCGCAGGAGATCTTGATGGTCTGTAGATACTCAGGGGCTGGGCAGGTGAGTTTGGGGCTGGATTTCATGGGTGCCAAGGCTTTGTTTGAGCAGGAGAGTCTATACGGTGGTAATGATCTCTGCTAACATCACGCCATGGCTAGTTCACTTTGAAGACCGGCCCCAAGGGAACATCTGTGACGTGAGCAGCGGGGAAACCACTAAGCAATGGAGAACATCAGCACTGCCTGCATTCTGGGACAGAAAGGACGAGAACATCACCCCAGAAGCTGCTCCCCACAGTGCAGCAGAGGGCCAGATTCCCTGCCCTCCCCAGCTCCTATTCTAGTGCTCCGCCCTGGGATCTAAACACACACACAGACGCACATAGACAGACACACATACACACAGACACACAGAAACACATACACAGACATATACACAGACACATACAGATACACAGACAAACAGACACATACACAGACATACACACAGATACATAGACACACTGACATACACACAGACACCTACACAGACATACACAGACACACAGATACACTGACATACACATAGACACCTACACAGATATACACAGACACACAGACACACACAGATACACATAGACACAGACACATACACAGACATACACATAGACACACACAAGACACACAGACACACAAACAGACACACAGACATACACATAGACACACAGACATATGCACAGACACATACACAGACACACACAGACATACACACAGACACACGCAGACAGGTACTCAGACACACAGGGACACACAAACACACCGACACATACACAGACACACATATAGACACACAGACTCACACAGAGTCACACAGACACACACAGACACACACAGACACAAACACACACCCTTCCAATGCAGGAAACAAAGCTTCAACAGCAGAACATTGAGGTGGCCTCTAACAAACCTGAACCAATTGCTGGAAACATGAGCTAACCGGGCTGGCACCAGAGGTGTGCTCCCATCCCTTGTGTCTGAAGTCTGACCCCGATATCCTAATACCAGCTGCCTTTGGTCTTGCAGCCAGAACCCTGCAGCTCTATGGCCACGCCCCCAGACCCCTAGGACTGTGCCCTATATCTGTGTGGTAATGTCCCCATGGCCAGGCCTCTGTGACCTCACTACCTCCCTGCTGCAGTCACATCCCTGTGGTCCCGAGGCCACAGCCCTGAGGCCCTGCGGAAAGGGCTATTGGTTAGTTCTCTGTCCCACTGGCCCCAGCAGTGTTGGGGTCCCCAGGGCAATCAGCCCTGATGCTCAGCAATGAAATACTGGAAAATCGGAGAAAATGGCGATTGGGATCTCCCAAAGTGGTGGGGAAGCCAAGTGAGTCTGGTGGGGGGAAGGGTCGGCTGCTTGTGGGGTGGGTGCAGGCAGGATCGGGTCCTGAGCCTCGTTCAGCCTCAGAGCAAGGGCAGCCCCAAGGCAGGCTCTCAGCCGACTCCCACTGCCAACCTCCACACAAGGGCTCCTCCACTGGGACCAAGAAGGAGACCAAGGCAACTGTAGACCCCCAGAGCTGAGTCCTCAGAAGCGCCCACACCACTACCTCAGCCAGGCCGTGGTGGTTATTTTCCTTCTTCTGACAACCTTCCCGGTGAGCCGGAGGGTGCTGTCTTCCCCAGGAGGACGGAGGCTCTGAGAGGTCACAGAAGTGAGTCAAGGGCCACGGCGGCTGAGCGCCAAGCAGGGACTGAACCCAGTGGTTTGGAGCCCAGTCTCTTTCCTTCCTGTGCATGCCTGTGCCAGTTCCCCATGACCCCCAAACCTCTCCTGCTAACCAATGTAAGGGAACCTGGGTGACTCCAGCCTGGATGGGGCAACCAGGGAGTGAGCAGGACACCTGCCCTCTGGGTGTGTGTGTGTGTGTATGTGTGTGAGAGAGAGAGAGACAGAGACAGAGACAGAGAGACAGAGAAAGAGACAGGGACAGAGAGAGAGAGAGAGAGAGAGAGAGAGAGAGAGAGAGAGAGAGAGATGTCTTGGCTAAGGGTGCCCAATGCCGAGAACCAGAGAACAACTGGGGAACATGTTCTGTTCTAGCAACTCTCATGTTCTCCCCTGGACACAACCCTCCTAGCAACAGTCCCAAGGATCCAATCTTTGGGTTTGAAAGGCCCCTTTCCTCCCACTCTAAGTATTTTGAAAGTCTTCTTCAGCTATCTTTTATAGGCCTTCCATAGAGCATGTGATAATCCTCTTTAAGCTGATGGGCATGTTCAGAAAAACTCTCCATATGGTTGAAATAAATTACTAAAGCGTTTTCTAAGCCTCATGGGGTAGCTTCACAGAAGCCTTCTGAAATTCTCTAATAAATCTCTTTAAGTCTTTTATCTTGAAAGCAGGAAGTGGCCGGGAGTAACCAGGTTCACACCCATCATGGCTGAGTGTGTCTCAAGAACACACCGTTCCCTCCAGGGACCCGCACAGCACACTCAGGTGGATGCAGCCCAGAAAGGTCGAGAGTGGGGGAGTGGGAGGAGAGTACTGTGGCCAGGGCAGCTCTCTTGCATGCAGCCAATCCGGGCTCTATCCTCAAGATCCCATAGAGTCCCCTGAGCCCTCTGGGAGTAATCTCTGAGCACAGAGCCAGGAGAAAGCCCTGAGCACTGCTGGGTGTGACCCATTTGATCACTTGATCACTTGACCTCCCATTACTCATCGATTTGCTTGAGTGGGACCCAGTAACGTCTCCATTCGTCCCTGTCGTGTGCCAGTGTAGCCCAGTGGTGTCTGCTCGCTCCAAGAACATGAAGAGCCTCAAACCGTTCGTTCAGGGTCTTGACAAAGAAATCTGACCATCTCGTAGGTGGGCAGCCATACGATCTTTTGACATCCCATGGAATCCAGTCGGTAACGTCTCTAGTCCAGCAGTCATCTCCAAATCACATTACGTGTCTGGCCCATCTGAATTTCGATGCCTTGGCAAATGAAACAGTGTCCCTGATTCTTGATCATTGACAGAGGTCAGAACTCCGGATTCCTTCTCTCACTTGAGTGAAGTGTGATACTCCAAGCATAGTTCTTTTGATTCCTCTTTGGGAGACCCGAATAGCGTTCTCATCTGGTTTTCATAGGGCCCAGGTCTCTGAGGCATATGTTAATACAGGGAGAACAGTGGAGTTGAAGAGATTTGTCCGGAGCCGGAGGTTCTTCATCCTCTTAGCTATGTCTTCGACGCTCTTGAAGGCTTTCCATGCTGCTCTCTTCCTCCTGCACAAATCAGGTGCCAGGTCATTTTCATGTTGACCTCTCGACCTAGGTACACATAACTGCTGCATTCAGAGATATTCGTTCCTTTAAGAGCGAATGAAATGTCAGGAACAAGTTAATTTCCCTTAATCATTGTCTTCATGAGATTCAGCTGCAGTCTGATCTTTCCACACTCACGGTCGAAATCGGCCAGCATTTGTGCTGCTTGGCTAGTGTTTGGTGTTATTAGAGGGTATGGCCCAAAAATCAAAAAGGAAAAAAAGAAATCCCCGAGCACAGAACAGGTCGGGAGCCAGCCAGAGAGACTCACCTCACCTTGCTCCACGCCTCTGGGCTAAATGATGACCTGCCAGAAACCACTACACACCTCCACAAACTTGGGGTTCTAGCCCTTCCTCTGCTGTGAGCCACCAGTTACACAAATTGGTAAATAGTTTAAGATGGTCTGGAGTCAAAATATGTTTTTTTCAAATATATTTTGAAAGAAAAATTGTCTCCAAATCAATAGCATGCTTTGCCCATGCAGTTCAGTTCATCTACAAGTTGCTCATTGGTCTGCGGACGATTTGCTCATAAATTCAACACTCATGAAACATGGCATCTCAGAAGCTGAGCACTTACAGGCTCTGAAGTCAGGGTCTGACCACTCTTTCATCCACTGTTAAGTGGACCTGAGAGTCCTCAGTGACCGATAAAGAGCATCTCAGGAAGAATAACGTCCCCCACATAGAGAATTCAACTCCACTCTAATCCCTGCCTGCACCATCACCCTAAAGCTTGCTTAGGTCATCATGATGACAGTACACTCCCTGCTCAGGCCCCCTGGGGCAGTGGGTGGCCCCAGCAGAACAGGCAGGACTGCCATGCCCCTCCCCCAGGGCACTAGACCAGTGTCTTTCCAAGGTGGGCTCACTGCCCGGGGCTCATGCTCCGGAATTCTCCTCTGAGACCTTTCTTCTTCATGCCCGTGCTCAGCACTGGGAACCACATCGGCTCTGCGGGCATCCCTCCTGCTCCTGGGACCAAGCACCTGGCCCCCGCTGCCGGGGACCAGTTTCCTTGGCCTCATCTTCATCCCTGCAATTCTGTTCCCTGCTTGAGATCCAGAGAGGGATCTTTGGACAGGCTCCCAGCATACCCCAAGACTGGGAATCTTACTTTTTGACTTTGGATAGTGTCTGTAAAGTGTCTCCATCCCTCTGACTGACCGTCACCCTAGGACGGAGCCCACAACATTCATAATACATCCCATGGGCAGCCAAGAATGGGGGCCTCAGAGGGCCGGGGGGCATTGGTCTGTTGGATCTTGAGTCCTGGCACTCTCCTCTCCGGGGTGGCTGAGTAGTTGTCACCAACAGTCTCCCTGTAGTATCCACATAGCCCCTAGTCTGGGGGAGACAACCCCCTACCAGGCACTAACCACACATTGGGGGGAAGGGGCAAGATCTGAGTGCCGAGTTGAGGGCTTCGCCCTCTTTGTGAGGTAGATTAGCTAAGTGTTCTTCAGAGCAATTGGTCCACTCTGGCCTTCACATTCTAGATGTTTCTGATGGTCTGAGGAAAGGCCTGGTCCTGGCTGCCAGCCTAGGGTTGGACCCTCTGTGGAGTGGGAGTGTGACCCCTCCACATCTCATCACCCTTCAGACACACTTTTGAAAGCCAAGCCAGAACCTGAGGTTGGCACATCCCGGTTGCTTGGATTGGGGCAAGGGAACTCCCTGGGGAGCAAAAACTGAAAGAAAAGAAAAAGAAAGACGCGTGATGACAGCAGATCAATGCCAGTTCCTAACAACGCCATGGGTTGGGGGTCTGAGGAGCCCCGATACTCGCTGACAGCTAACATTCAAGGAGACCCACCTTAGCCCACAGGCCCCGGGCCTGCCACCCACCCCAGCCAGCTCTGGACTCTGCAGCCTGCTCCCCCCGGTCACACAGAGACCAGCGTGACTTGTCACCAGAGGGAGGCAGCACCCACAGAGCCACCCCACAGGCCAGCAGCCCCCTGTGTGCCTCTCAGCACGCAGTGGGACTGACTCGAAGTCTCGCGTTCCCCGGGGCCTCTCCTGTAACCCTTTTGATTTCCTTTGCCTGTTGGTGGGTTTCACAGAAATGATCGATGGGCCGTGATCATTTTATAGTGCTCCTCTGCCTCATCCCAGCAAAGACAGAAGCTCAGTCCCTGAGCACGCTGAGCAAGGCCAGGGACACCCTATCTCGGTTGCATTCTCCAGTCCAGCGGAAGAGGAGGTGCCGAGACAGGTCTCCCCACAAAAATCTGAGCCCCACCCACCTCTAACTGTAGGTGACCTGTTCCAGGCAGGGCTCTGAAAAGGGGCTAGCGTCCCCGGACAGACAGATAAGACATTAGCACTGCGTCATGAGTGACTCAGCCCTCGGACCCAAGCATTTCCAGTCCACACTGCCACCCCCACCCAGGTACTGTGAGAAACAATGATGGCAACTGGAGTCTGGGATACGCACAGAGGCACCCCTCAGGTCAGGAGAGTCTTCCCAGGACTGTCCCTGAGTGGGAGGCTGCACTTGACAGACCTCAGACACACAGCCCGCCCCAGCAACGCTCATGTTCTCCCCTGGACACATGCAGCCTCCAGCAACCCCGCCATGTCTCACACATTTGCTCAGGACTGACAGACAAGGAACCCAATGCACCCCACCTTGGAGGAGCTCACCTCCAGGCCACAAGGTTTGCTCTGTACATGTTACGCTTGAACAAGAATAAAACAAATACCCAACAACCGCTCATGCTTGCTGAGAACACTTCCGAGCCCACAACATCACATTCTTGGTTCCTTGTTGGCCAAAGGCTTCATTGAAATACCTACCTGCTGTACTATTGGTTTAGCCCCCTGATTTTTAGTTTTTGTTTTATATTATATGCTACAAATGGCTTCAGCTAGAAATTCCTTCCAGTATTTTCTTCATCATACTGTATGGCATGTTAAGTATCACATATTACACACATTACACATTGGCAGCCAAAGCCACTAAGTTAAAAAAAATCTCATGGTAAATAAAATCAATACTGAGTTGGAGTCTGATGGTCTGTTTCCCAGTTCCTAGGGTTTCTAACAATCTGTGCTTCTCAGGCAGGCGAGAAAATTGAATGCACACACACATACTTGTTTCTGGGAAAGGTATACAAATGACTCATTTCAGAAAAAGCAAGAAAATCACTCATTCTAAAATGACTGTCATTCAAAAAACACTGTCAGGAAGATTACCAAAGTAACATGTCCATTTACAATACAAAACAGAGAATCTAATACAAGACGGGGGAAGAGGCTGCACATACCTGTGTTTGTCTCTGTGTGTGTGTGTGTATGTGTGTGTGTGTGTGTGTGTTCAGAGGTGAGTACCCACAACCCCCTGCCATCCCACCTGACACACCCTCTGCTGTGCACCTTCTCCATGTGCACTGCCTTCCCAGGTCTCATGTATGGCTTCTGCTTTAGTATCTCCTACTTTTTGCCCACCCATGTTTTTTCTCTATTTTATCTCTACATCCCTGTATAATTCTTATTTCTCTCTTCCTTCCCCCATCCCCTTTTTATCAATCACCTATAAAACATATGCATAATGATACCTGATGGTCCCCTCAGTCCAGTCTCACATATTTTAGTGCAAATATACCATTCACCCCCCCCTCGCAAAAGAAAACCCAAGTTCCTTTTTGGTTATTTGATTCTTCTACCCCCTTTCATATAAAGAGGTCCTTGAAAACCACCTCTCCATAGCAAATGTTGAGGAGCAGAGCACAGTCATGGATTTCAACATACTCACCTTTATTCCAATAATCATGCCGGGTTGTCAGGTTAAAAACATGTTTCATGAAAATCAAACACAACTCCTTGCCATAATGACATCCGGGTATACCCTCCACACTGAAATAGCCACACTCATTTTACAATATTTTTTTCACCATTTAAGCAAATTTATTTAAGAAGCACCCAAGAAAAGCCGAAATTTCTCTCACTGTTTAAAACAGTATGGCCAGACAAACACCAACATCCAAATGATAGAACATCTACAAATATGGGGCGAAGATGGGAGTGGGCTCTCAGAATCTCACAGTGTACCCCATCACTGTAAGACAACCAATCAGCTAATTTGACTCTGTTTGGTGGATCCCATGGAAGGAAGCCAAACAGAGGTATGAGAGGTGTAAAGACCCTCCCCGGGCCGGGACTGCCATCTCCACCACCATATTTGCCTGAGACCACCAGCACAAGAGCACTGCCGGATGCAGACACGGACACATCCCCACGCCAGAAGATGAGAGAACACAGAGAAATGAGCAACAATGGCTGCAGTCTGATCCAGACACATTGACCCAAACCCAATGGCGGGTGTGTTAGCGTAGCGATGGGAGCTAAATGCAGGGCTGTGAGCACGTGTGTGGCAGAGGCACGACCCTCCTGCTTCAGCGGAGACACACACCGAATGAGCAAGAAGTACCTGTGATGATTTCATTAAACAGTTCTGGACCCTTAATGGGAAAACCATCAGTCTTGATCCAATCACCTCCTAAATTAGGAAAATGCAACTTGATGATTAGAAAGGAGGGTTTGCTTCGCCACATCTCAGAGCACCCCTAACGCAGATTAAAATGGACTTTCCACAGTCTCTGGGCAATTTGCTCTTGACCAGGGGAGCAACTCGGGACCTAAGATTGAGTGCAATGCAGATGTTCCATCTTTTTCCCCCAAGGGTAACTCTGGCAAGTGATCAAAAAGTTTTTGACAAATGCTAATAAACACCCTACATTGCAACTCCTTTAAGCAAACTCTCTTCTTTAAGAAACATGGCTCTACAGGTCTCCGAATTCTTCTTTAGAAATTCTTTCATAATCTGAAGTTTGGATTGGCTAACAATGAGGGGGGAAGTATCTCCCCTCTCTAAGTGACAAAGGCATGGCCTCCAATTCTCGGTGACACTTACCAGGCAGGCTTTCAGCTCTGTACACAGGACGGCTCACTCCACTGTGGTTTTCTGCAGTAACCAGCACAAAGTACACTACCCCCGGCTCTGAAACATACGGTTTATATCACGCCACCATGTCAAATCTTCAGGAATGACAGACTGACTCACTCCCTGTCTCCCTGATACCACTTAAAACCAAATAGAAACATCTGACTTCAACAACCAGTCTAACCATAGCTGTCTCTCTCTCTTAATCAAAATCACTAACAGACTCTTGTGCCACTGAAAGAATGTGGATCCGAAGAACAGAATGTTTGTTTAGTGCAAAGTACACGGTGGGTGTGAGGAACCTGGGCCTGGAAGTAGCTGCCAGACTGCTTTCAAGCTTTGAAATGTAAAAATCCATAGAATAGGAACGACTGTCCACTAAATAAACAGGTATTCTATCCAGCAGGGTTTGAGTAACTACAAATTCTCGTTCCCCACGAAAGCTCCGAGTGAAACATTTCCCAAGGAAAAAGACCAAGGAAATGTCAGCCCAGCTCATCCAGCTTAGCACCTGGGACTCCTCCTCACTGCACGCCATCAAAATCTCCTCTGCTCTCCATGGAGAGTCTCTCATATTATCTTTGACTGGAGGAATGCTTCAGGGAAATTTAGAACAATCTATAAAAGTCTTACTCGGAATGTTGGAAACATCTTGAAATAAAGGTGCTTCCCTTTTTGACTTGGCCCAAGGGGTCAAGATCAGAGGTTCTGTCTCCTGGGTGGAGCTCCTGGGTAGCTGGATGTGGACCAGGGCATATCTTGAACCTGTGGCTCTGCAACGCCACCCCTCTACTGGTAGGCCATCTTGGGAAGAGCTTATTCCCTAGTGAAAGGTAAGTGAAGGAGACAGTGCCTTGAGGAGTGTATGTGTGGGGGGGGGGTGGGAGGGAAGGGGGTAGACATGTCAGTGGAGGAAGGTTTAGGAGACTGTAATAACACCCATTGAACTCCTCATAGGGAGAAGGTTTGCTTTAACAAAACTTCAGATCTGAGCAGTAGCCCCAGATGCCCGTGGTATGCCAGCCTGGGAGAATGCCTGTCTGAGGATGGCAGAGCATGGTGGCATAAGGGGCTTGGCACCACCAGCCAACTAACTGGGAAGCGTGCTCAGTTCTTGCCAATGCAAATCATGCTTGGCTGAGCACCTACTTGCGTCTGGCTGCAGTGCATGCACAACAGCAACGTGATCACGTGTCTCCGGTTCCTGTGGGGAAACCCACCAGCAAACTCCTTGGAAACACTGTTCGGGGTTGGGTGAATTCTGTGGCTCTCCTTTTGCATGGAGTTTTTAGTTTGTTTGTTTGCTTGTTTCTAGCCATTCCATCTCCAAGGTTGGAAGAAGAAAACCTGACCCCGCAAAATCTTTCTGTCGACAGAATCTGCAATTCGCTCCACAGTTGAACTCTGGAGTCACAGGATGGGGAAATGGGGTAGAGAAATGGGGGTCAAGAAGTTGCTGGGACCAGGAGAAGGGAATCTGGGCCCTCGCAGTCTCTTGTCTATCTGCTTTCTTCCCTGATCCCCATAAACCCTAGTAACAGGGTGCAGGAGGAAGATAAGGTGCAGTGTGGCAGGTGGGCCAGGGGTTTGGGAAGTCACGAGTGGGTTAGACCCACTGAAGGGGGCAGTGAAATGGCTCCCTGGATGCTGACAGGGCCAGATCATGCCTTCACCTTTGCCTGGTCTCATTCGCATGAATGAGCAACTTCCAGATGAAGCCGTTAAGTTGTTCATATGAGATTAAAAAGGAAACAACGCTTTTTTTTTTCCTGAAAAGACATTTCTGTTAAAACTGTTTCAGTTAAGACAGTTTTAGTTAAAACTGGAGTTTGGAGAGAGTTGGGGGTTGTGGAGTTCACATGCAACCAGGGAACAAGGGGACAGTGTGGTCACCTATGCCCTAAGGGCCACTAGGTCCCTAGAGCCCATGCATGACTTAGGCCACTAGCAGTCATCCTACGGGATGGAGGGGCAGGTGAGAGTAGAAGGGAAGAGTTCTGAATGGGGACAAGTCCAGGATGTCACTTACCCACATCCTCAATGAGGAAGGAGAGGGTCTCCGCATTCACCTTGATGTATTGGAGGCTTTTCAGGGACTTCCCATAGGCTATGTTGTAATGGTCCACGGGTCTACTGGTAGCCTCTTTGGGTGGGTCCCACGTGACTTTCAGGCCCATTTTAGTGGACAGTAGTTTCACGTGTCTTGGCTTCAGTGGGTGGTCAGCTAAGCAAACAGTGAAGCTATCAACTTAGAGCCACGGCCGAGGGGAAAGAGAGTATTTCTGCCCGATGTCCTCTGATACTGCTAGCACAAGAGCGAAGGGACCATCTGTCTGACCCTAATAACTGCCTGGGTGTATTTGGACAGCAGGACAGCGAAGCAAACATCCCCAACCCACATGCCATCATGTCGTTTGGGTAGCAGTGGGCAGCCCATGGAATCCAGAGGGAGACAGATGCCAAGAGCCCCAGCCTCCTCCTGTGTGATGACTGTGACCGAGAGGAGCAAGAAAAACTAATCAGCCACTTTGTGCCCATCTTAAGTAAATGTGCATTGTTTTCTATGTTCTGTCCGAGGGGTTTTAAAACATCTCAGAGGAGAGTCACATGAAATTCTCACTACTTGGAAAGAATACTCACAAGATCCAAAGCAAGAAAACAAACTTTCATCTCCACAAAGAAAACAGTTTCAATTGTCTAAAAGGGATGGTAAACTGCTGGTTAGTCTGCATAGAGCTAATTTTAATGGTTCCATATTTTTCCTCGGAAGAAGAGAAGTGGTGAAAAGCATGGTTACATTGTAGTTTTCAGTTATGACATTCCATAAAAGCATTCTGGAAGATTCCAACATAACCAGAAGGAAAAAGAACATTCTGTCACAACAAAATCCTTCAACTTAAAATGTAACTGATATTGCAATATGTGTATATATACATCTTGTATATATATACACATACACATAATGTATACATTTATGTAGTATATAAATATGTTAAATAGACAACATTAAGGGCAGATTTGGATCTGAAACTGATTATTTAATGATGTAAGGCAGTCTCTGGAGAAAACATCATTTAAAACAATCTGGGAGAGGCTGGAAAGATAGCATAGTGGGTAGGGCGTTTGCCTTGCATGTCTGTCGTTGATCCCCAACATCCCATAGGGTCCTTTGAGCACTGCCAGGAGTAATTCCCAAGTGCAGAGCCAGGAGGTATCCCTGGGCATCACCACATGTGGCCCCAAGTTTAAAAAAGAAATCAAAAATTTGAAAAATATCCTCAATCTGGGAACCTTTGACTTAAAAAAAAAAAACCATTTAGACTCTCACAGAAGAGTGTTTGGCAATGACACACGAATAGGTCAGCCCATGACCCACTACTGAACCAAGTTTCAGGACAGGGTAAGGGTGGACAGTTCAACATTGCTGACCCCCATCCCCGGCCTCCAGATGCTGCCGCCACCGCCTCTGGAAGGAAATGAAGAGCAGAGGAGACGACTCCAGCAACTGCTCTGAGAAATTCCAGGAATGAGCCAGAAGGAATGAAGCAGCGAGTTTTCCAGCCTTTGAGAAAGGATGTCTGTTCCGGAGACAAAAGCTCTGTTAGATTCTGGGCAGGCAGCAAGCCCACAGAGCATTCCCTCCCTGGGTTAGAGGCAAGGTTCGGGCAGGCGGGCCGCACGGAGCCATGGCTAGGGGCTTGGCACTTCTCGGAAGGCTCCCAGACTGGGGAGACCAGAAAGACAGAACACGACTCATGTCTGGGGGGAGGGTCAAAGTCCCAGTGTAGGCCCCTTTCCTGTCCTTCTCCTTTACTCTTCCTCACCTGCAGGACCCTGCTTAGGGTCTTCTTTGCAGAGGACCGAGGTTCCTGCCCCACAGTGCCCTGTATCCCAGGAGTACGCCGAACTTTAGGGAGACACCCACCTCCTGGCAAACGGGTGATTGTTTCAGGGAGAGAATGAGTGAATGAGTGAGTGAATGAATTAGTGAACATGCAAAGGACACTTTCTCTACCACTCACTTCCAAAGCCCTCAAGAGGGTTGGAACCCGGCAGACAGACCACCTGGAACGTGAAAGCCAAGCACCTCGTATGACTGGACACTTGTAGCTGTGACCAGGCCGCTGACTCGTGAGCCTGGAAGTGATCACATTGATTCCTGTGACCTGGATGGAAGAGCTGTACATCCACAGACCCTCTGTCCTGCCCTGCCATCTTTCCCCTCCCTCTCCCTTGGGACCCGGTCATTTCCAACTCTAGGAGAGTCCACATTTAGTATGATGAAACCAACCAAGAATCAATAAAGTTTTTTTTTCTTTTTTCCCCATGCTCTGCCCCCATCCTGGTCCAACCTCTCAATAAAGTTTTCAACAACACACATGCTTAATGCCCTAACGCCAAGGAGACAAACACCACTCCAATGATGGTTGTTTGCCTACACGAGGAGAGATACACACATCTCCAAAGGAGCTCTAAAAAGCACCGAAGGGGGTGCCAATATGAGTCCCCAAATCCTAATGAACATTAGCTTCCCTGTAGCCCCAGATGATGTCCCCAGCTTAGAACCTAGACTTGTCCATAACGCCACAGCCCTCTCCCAGTAAACATGCAAGGATTCAGGTAGAAACCCTTTCCACCCGGTCTCTCGCACTTGCAGACAGAGACTGGAGGCTACTGAGACCCTCCATCAACATGCTCAAGTGTCAAAAAAGCTTTGCACAGCTCCCCAGCCCCCAGCCCCCGGAGACAGAGGGGCAGCGGCTGGGAGTAGGGGGAGGGGAGGACCGTCCTGGTGAGTCCCAGGCAACCCTGGCCCCAGATCCAACACGGCTCTCTAATAAAACAAAACCTGCCCCATCATGCGCCTCCGCTCTGGCACTGTTTGAATTCAAGCAGCGCTTGCCACTGGAAACCACCCAACCCTCCCCAGACTCTGAAACGCAGCCGAGGCTGATACCCGCAAGGCCCGGGACTGGATGGAGGCGGAAGGCGGCTGGGCGAAGGCACAGATCAAGGCTCCGCCCCACCGGAAGGTGGAAAATGATCCCTGGCAGCATGATACTGGAATACTGGAAAACGCAGGAATACTGGATTTTTTCGGTTGCCACAGGAATACTGGAAAACGCAGAGTCACCCGGATGGGTGCCACGAGTGCACAGACACCCAAGTGGTCACAGCTTAAAAGAATGTTCAAACGATGCAGGAATTACATCTGACAAATAATTATGCTCCTGTTCCTCCAGAAAAAGAGAGGGACACAGGGGACCTGCGGACAGAGCTGGGCAGACCCTGGACCTGAGACATAGGGCTGAGATTGGGGGTGACCCCAGTTCAATCCTTGGCCTCGCACACGGCCCATGCCCAGCATTGATGGGGTGCTCTTGGGGTTCCCGACCTTGCAGGGTCCACGCAGCAAGACATTCTTGAATCCTCATTGTCAACCACCAGCCTTGTTGCCAGGCCTTGCTGGGGGAGGCCCCAGGCTGGCCAAGTACAAGTTGGGGGCATTCACCGGCACACACCAACCCATCCCTTCTCATGCCGCTCCCACACAGGCTGCCACACTGGTCTGGCCATTCAGGGAAACATCATAAAAATGTGTCCCAGTTGAAATCTCTGGGATCCTCAGACTTCAAACACATCTCAAGGAACTGAAAGGGCTTTGCTAGCTGACCCTGTGTCTCATAGCGCAGGAGATGAACACAGGCAGTAAGGATCCCAGGCCTTCTCCCCGGCTCTCCTCAGAGCCCACCCAGGGCTGCTTTTGGGTGCTGCTCTGCTCCCACAGGGGGGCCTGTCCACTCCAGACACACAGAGAGGGAGAAGCCCTGAAAGAGGTGTGAGTGTGTGTCGGGGGGCGGGGGGGGGGGGGAATGTGTGGAGGTGGGGGTGGATGTGTGAGTGTAGTGTGATGGTGTGAGAGTGTGTGAGTGTGACTGTGTGGGGTGGGCTGAGTAAGTAGGGGGGGAGTGAGTGTGTGGAGGTGGAGGTGAGTGTATGTGTGAAAGTGTGAGTATGGGTGTAGGATGCTGTGTGTGTGTGTGTGTGCGCATCGGGAGTGGGCACGAGTGTGTGTGTGGCCTTGAGTGTGTGTGTGTGAGTGTGGATGTGTGTGTTTGTGAGGGGTGGGTGTGAGTATGAGAGAGTGTACGTGAGTATGTATGTGTTGTGAGAGTATGTGTCTGTGTGTGCATGCAGGGAGTGATGTGAGTGTGTGTGTGAACATGGTTGGGTGTGTGGGTTTGAGTGTGAGTGTGTGAGTGGTTGTGAATGTGTATGTACATGAGTGTGGAGGTGAGTGCCTGTATAGTGTCTTTGTGTGTGTGTGTGTGTATGCATGTGTGCATATGTGTGTGCGTATCTGTGTGTGTGAATGTGTGCGCGCATGTGTGTGTGTGTGTGTGTGTGTGTGTGTGTGTCTAGGGGAGTGCAGTATCCTAGCACTCACTGCCTTCGGTGTTTCCCGATGGGGGGCGGGGGGTTAGCTGGCTACCTTGCCTGTGGCCTCAGCCACATGTGAGCTCCCCGGCCTGTCCCCAGTCGCCCCCCTACATTCTTGATCTAGTTTTTTGAGAACAAAGCGTCACTGTACCCAGCAGAAAAGGCCAACTCTGCAAGCATTCGTGCCAGCGTGCCTGTAGGGCACTGGACAGTCACCAAATACAGTTGTGAATCACAGTTCTCCTCCATTAAAGAAGCCCAGTGACAAAGCCTTCCGACTGTCAGACATGACCATGGGTGCTCATAAGGAGAAGACACCACCCGCACGTCTGTGCCAGGTGACCGTGAGGGGCAAAGGAGGTGACGGACACCCCCAGGCTGCCAGGGCTGCTCTGGGGCTCCCTCGGGGCTGATCCTGGTCAAAGTCATCCAAGGATACAGTACCTCCTTTCTGTGGCCCTGGGCCTGGGTTCCCCTCACCAAGGTCACCTGCACCCCAAAGCAGGCCTGCCGGCCCTGATGCTGGCGAACACAGGCCTTCATTCAAAAGCTCTCTAAGAGCCATCACCTAGAATGTTCTAGGCTCCAGGTTGCTTATTTTTGTGTTGGGCATGGAGGGCTGAGGGAAACCAAAAAAATTTCTTGCTGAACACACATGGAAAACAATCACGGGAGCAGCAGACATTCTGCTTCTAAACCAGCAACGAGGGGTAGATCTAAAAGCAAACTGCTGGGACTGGGGAAGGCTCCTACGTGGATCTTCCTTCTCCCTCCG